GCCATATAGCTGCGATATTTACAGTTATTGTTACGCCATGAAATAGGTGGAAATTTTTAGGTTTCAAATCTACCTAAAGTGTTAAAGCATCACAAGTGCTTATTGTGATTTCTTCCTTTTCCACTATGAAAAGCTATACAATTCTGTGAGTTTTCTTTGCATTTTTATGCTTTTTACTCGAACAAAAACGAACGAACGTAGTATAAAATGTGCCTTCAATTTCTGTTTTATTAATCTTGCTGTTGTGGATTGTTATTTTAAGCCAATATTTCTTATAATTGGACCAATAGTTTCAAAAAAAAAAAGAAGAAGAAAATGGTTACAACTGGTTTCCTTTTTTAAATTGAAAAACCAATGCTTGCTTGGGGTTCGATTTCTCTCAAATAATTGGTCGCCTAAGTCAAGCATTATTCGTAAAGAAAACAAACTAAAAAACATTTTTTTCCAATTGAATAATTAAAAAATTATTTGAAATTGATTTTGAAAAAACATTCAAAAGAATAGAAACACTTTTACAATGACTTTTCCACAAGTTTACCCTACTGCTACTCTCGTTCGAATTTAATTAATTAATGGGTACTTGTTGCAAAGAGAACGAATTTTAATCTACGTAAACATCGATTGTTATGTAGAAGAGTTTATAACGATATATGTGAACGATATTGAAAGTGACTTCATTTCAGAGAGTCAATGCCTATGCTTCATTGCAGAATGAGCACAAAATCTGTTCTACCGTCATTTCTTCCAAGAATGTTTTACCATAAAAACTAGGTAGACATTATCCAGTAAAGGCCTTTGTTATGATTGGCAAGGGACTACATAATCTGTAAGAAATTATGTAAGGAAATATTTTCAAATGCTTAAAAGGAAAAAAGTTGATTACACATACTATGCGGAAAGCGAAGTGAACCTTTAATTGAAAGAAGAAGAAGTAAGAAAATGAAACTCGGCCGGGACCGAATCTTGTATACCCATCACCATTTAGCCCAAAAAAAAGCAAAACAAATAAAAGAACAAAATTCCCATATGGAACGGGCGCAGTTGATTTCTTCTATTATCAAAATAAAGATCTCTGTCGCATAACCGTGTGAGCGTTCTAGGCGTGTCCTTTGAAAAGTTTATTTCAATTCCAAAATTTTTTGTAAACTTTTAGGCGTTATCTTCATCTTCGCTAAAGGGAGAATGTTTGCCACAAATACTATAAAGTTACGCAAACAGACAGACGGACAGACGAAAGGACGGACAAGTTTTGGGGAGATTAAAGGCTTGTACCTGGCCAAGAATTTGCATGCATAGGGGTTTGCAAAGCTTGTTGTAAAGGTATTGAAAATTTAATTAAATTTTGATACACTATAGTACAGGGTAGGCGTGGTCAATGTTTTCTATGTTTGTGCACAGATGCTAGAGCATCGCCAATGGAATATGCTTTCAAACTTTTGTATATTTTTCTGCTATAGTTTATGCGTAATTAGCAGAAAACCAATTTTGCATTTCCTTTGAAAAACGACGTGGTGCTGTGGGCGTGTTCTTCGACCGATTTGGCCCATTTTCAATAGCACCCTGCGTGCAAGAACTTCCAATGTTTCGGCATAATTTGAAGTCCATAGCTTGATTTTTACAGCCGGGAGAATGTTTACAGCAGACATAACACAGATGGACAGATGGACATGCTCATCCTTCGATAATGGGTATAAAAAAATGTTTAATGTATACATAGAGCAGACTAGATTAACATAAAGACCGACTGATTGATTATTCAAGGCAGCCGATTGTAAATTATTATTGACTACTATATGCTAGAAAAGTCTTACCAAAGGAAGGCTGCCAGCAGCTGAGCTAATCGTTGTTACGAGGTTGGCTAAATCGTACCACGAATCGGAAAACTTACCCATGAAAAATTAAAAGCACTCCATCAGACTTTTCCGCTCGATTCACTTTACTCACGAAACATTGCTACTTTTGGCGACACGTTGGATGGCCTTCAACATAGACTTTTCAACATAAAACGCATATGCAGTTGCAAATACGGAGATGATAGTGACTAAGGACGGACAAACATCTAGAATAAAATATATTTTTTGTGTGTGCATCCTTTTTTTTATTTAAAACTTCACATTTACGAGAAAACATTATGGTAAATAAATTTTACTCAAAATATTTAATTTTTTTACATTCATACCCATTACTTTCACTCCTCTATGTTTCGCTTTCAACACACTGATGAATTGGATTTCTCAATACATATTTTATGCTCAACTTACTTTTCGATTGTATATGTGCATAACATACTGATCAACAGATTCGTAGTATGGCTTACAGATGTACGAGAATTATTGACGAATCCATATAATTTTTAGAGGGCACCAATCGCTACGCACGAAATCCGGATTTTTCCATTGTTCGGGAAATATAAAACAATTGTAACTAGCAAGCGAATGGTCCGAATATCATGAACTTTTAACACATATCGCTTGAAGATTGGCATTATTCAAAAATTTACATGGTTACATGTCATCTTACGAGATAGTTGAGGGATGTCTTATATGTATAGATATAGATTTCATTTCCGGTTGATCACTATTTAAAGCACTTATATCATGCGTCGCATTTTGGTCTTTTTTGCTTTGTACGACAATCTATAGCAAAAATGATATTCCTCTGTACTCTTTTATTATCAATAGTTCAAAGAATATTTTCATAAGAGTTGCTTAATCTAATCATTTGCGTCAGGTCTTTCGACTTTGCCGTAGACACAATCCGGGGACAATTTGAAAGATCAAGGTGATAGGCACAATGCTAAGTTATAGTCATAGCGGCCGCAGTCAATTGCTTATCTTAATTTTCTGTGTGATAAGCAACAGTGGACCGCATAAAACGTATTCTTTGCACCTTTGTAAAGACAATTCCTAAACGACCCAACCAAGTGCAGAGCATATGCTTCTTCGACTATTGTGTTGGCGTTGGCCGTAATAATTTTTGTTTGGCGAATATTTCTTTCAAATAACTTATCTGCTTTCAAAGTACGCCTCGCTTTTTTGGCTCTACGTGCATGTGCCCATTAATCCAACCGACTAAAAAGTTCAGTAATGAGATGAAAGGTTCCTGTTTATAATAATATTCTCGTCAGATTCTACCAGAAAATTTTCGTGCATCTGCATTAATGTTGTATGTAAATGACTTAACTTTTTTGGAGATTGCAAGCATCTAGTTTTTTTCGACATCTGCGTTTAACGGAGTGCATGTGAAATTTCTGACAGGTTGCTTATAAAACAAAAAATAAGGTAAGATACATGTACAATTCCTTAAGAAAAGTTTCCATTGTTACGAAGTGAGAGACGGGCGCAATTCTGGTAAAAAAATATTCCGTTCACCCCAGCCTTTTACATTTAACGAATAATGGCTTTTTATTTTATTTTATTTATTTTATTCCACTTATACTAGAAACTCAACTAAACAAGTAACAGTTGAGTTCAATAGGCTCTTAATGCAAAACTAATATTAATTAACAATAAAATTGAGTATAAGCATAATAAAACAAATAAGAAGAGAAAAAAAAAAAAAAGAAAAAGAAAAAAGAAAAAAAAAGCATGTACACTATCAGCATAGGAGCACACTTACAACCGGTACAGGACCAAATTGCAAATGAACTTCTAAGCCATCGCAAACATGCATAAGCCTGGCAACCGATAATAAATTAACAATAATTCACTTTCGAAACGTAACGACTTTTTAAGGATGAAAGCTAGTTTAAATACGACATAGGTAAATCGCGCGTATTAAGTAATGTTGCTTTAATGGACTTTAAAGGGTCCGATAACGAGAATAAGTGGTAGACGTCATTTAGGTTCTTGCAAACGACTCTGAGCGGATTGAACAGCTCATAATTAAATTTACACTGATTAAGCTTTACCAAGATAAAGTGCCTAGAGAAGCGGTTAGGGACATTGAAGCTTACTTCACCAAGTAATGAAGGCGAGTCAATGGCACCATTTATTACTTTAATTAGAAAGGAAACGCCAAGAACAAATCTACGTTTCTCAAGAGACGGTAGGGACAGCAGAAGCAACCTATTTTTTACTATCAATTTTTTATTTTATTAAATTTACAAGAAAAAAAGCTTTTTGTTTATTTAGTTATTTATTTAGTTGTTTTGTTTTAAAATAACATTTGATTTACAGTTAGTTCTTCGGTGTGGACATCTATGCGACAAATGAAAGCAAACAAGAGTTTTTAATTGTTTAAAAGGGATCAAGGGAGTCTTTCTTCATTCCATAATATCCAGATATATAAAAAATAGCTATAACATAGTGCCGGTTGCTAAGAGACTGCATGCATGTTTAAATGCATCCCCCCGTACTTTGTTTGACCGTGCAAGCCGCAATGCGAACATTTAAAATCTCTATGACTACGAAATACCCTACATTACATCGCCTGGTATGATTATTTGTCTACTTTCGCCGTAAAATATCGAAAACTTTACTACCTCAAGGATTCTTTTTGTAGCGACGCTTTTGTGGGAGAGAATTTTGCAAAAAATAATCTTTTTGCGCTTAGCTTCTTTTAAAAAGTATAAAAATCACAAAATTTTTTTGATATATTCTTTTGATCAACATACCTGCAAGCTTTCGATCCGTAGATTGAACCCTAAGATACATGGATACATGGATTAAGATGCATCTGATAGACAGACGAGCATACCTGCTTGAATTCGGAAAATTCGTTTGAATCGCTTATCTTACGAAATGATAGGCTAAACTCCAGTTCTTTCATTGGATCTATCGGCACTGACTTATCACAAATGATATTCGGTGTAATATGATGAGAAGTTACATTAATTCAATGTATAGCTCGCAATGAAAGCTCGCCATCTATTATTGAAATCCTATCAATCGAAAATTCGAATATGCAGAAGGTAGGGAGCGACTCCTGTGATTTAAACTAATATATTTATTTTTAACTTTAACTGAACTTTAATAAAAAAAAATGTATTTTTTTTTCAAATTTACTTGAATTTAACAAGTTAAAAAGAGAAGAATAAGATCAAATTTGCTCTTTTGTTGATTTATACGTACAGGACCTTTCAAAGTCGTTCAGTTAAATATTATAACCCAACAGTGCACGTCAAGCAAAGATTACAAGCAAACGTGCTTAAATTTATTTCCTTTAAAGAACAAAAACAAAAAAAACAACCTATAAATTCATATGAGTGATACATGTCATACGTCAACTATTCATTCAACTATTCATGCATGCGTACAATGTTCACTCAACGAAATCTTTTCCTGAAAGAGCAAGATATCTTCCAAACACTCTCAGTTGAACAATAATAATAACAACAATCGGCAACTTTCGCTTACACAATACACCTTTATTCACATTTTTAGCATACTGTTTCCCAGTAGTTGGCTCTTTCCTTTCTCTCTTTTTTTTTTTACTTCAATTGTTGGTTAGTGGCCATCCACAGAATTACAAGCGCCATCAGCGCACCATTGTAATTGTTGTCGCCCATCATCACTGATAATTTCGCCATTTTCCAGTACAATAATGCGATCATAATCGTATATAGTGTCAAGACGATGCTATTCATAAAATATGTAAAGAAGCCAACAAAGACAGGATGATAAAGAAACTATATGTATATGTATATATGTGTATGTGAATAAAAAGAAATGCAGCGAGTCGTTTATTTATTTTTTATGAGGGGAAGGTAAGGGGGTCTCCCATATAACCAGTCAGGAAACCATCGCATATAGGGGTATAGGGTGGCCCAAGGCACAAGATCAGCCCGTCTGGCAAGTAAGTTTCGTCCGTCCGTCCGTTTATCTTCATAACGTGTGTCTCTTCAGTACACTCGTTTGCTTAGTGTCTGTGGTAAGCAAAGACGTCATATTAAAGAATGCCCTCAGAGAAAAGTGACGTGAGAGAGAGAGAGAGAGAGAGAGAGAGAGAGACAGAGAGGGAGAGGGCATAGCTTGAGGACCTTAATAAACCTGCCCTGCCGGATTATACAGTTTTACGGGTGTTTTCTTACAGCAATCGCAATAATTGTTCGGCCCGCAAAAGCCTTATGTGCAGCCGCCAATAGGATTCTCTCAGTGGATATATCTAAATAACTGGTCGCTTCATCCAATACCAGGCACATGGAACGTTTTAAAATGGCGCGAGCCAAACATAAAAGCTGTCGATGTCCCAAACTTAGCTTGATGCCACTGTCGATTAATTCAGAATCTTTAAGTAAAAGGAAAAAAATTATAAACAAAAGAGCAATGATTAAAGAATAAGGAATGGAAAAATAAGAATGAAGAATAAAGACTAAGAATTAAAGTATAAAGAACAATAACAGTGACGACATAATACAACAATACATTCATTTATTTGTTTAAACTATTCATTTTCTTTAACGGACTGAAATTAATTTGTGCAAACACTTGTGTGCCGTCGAACAGGATAGTTGAAGTGATATGCCCTATAATGTTATTTTAATGTTTTGTTTTTCTTTTCTTTTTTTTTTTTTTGCATAATAAAAGCAATTTTTCACCAACGCCTATAAATCATGTAATGTTTATATATTTTTTTGTGGCGTTCAGCTCAGCGGCATTTATTTCTTACATTTCATTATTTAATTACGCAAATTAACCAATTTACAGCAGCATTTTAGGATATCGCAAATTTTCTAGGTCAACCGACCAAACATACAAAAAAAAAAACATCCGTTTTTCCACAGAAAGGCAGAGAACAAAACACGAATTGAAACAAAAAAGAGATCGAAACTCTTGTAAACAAAGAACGAAAGAACTTGAAGTCTGGATGTGGAGAATCCAACGAATTACTTTCTTTTTCTCTGTTTTTCTTTCCATCTCTTTCGCTTTCACATATCTCTCTCTTTCGTTCCGCCGCAATACTATATATGAACTAATTTCATAGTTTACACTCAAGTAAAAAATTCATCATTCATATATATATGTGCATGCACAGAAGTCCATAGTTAATATGTGAGTTGCAAAGCGAATTCTGGAACTGTTGCTAACTCTGTACACTAATCTTGTTACATGTTTGCTGGAATAACTATTATTATCCCTCGTTGATTAATAAATGCAATATATTTTTTATTTTCTTTTCATACTATTCCTCGTTAAAAGGATTAAGTAAAGCTTGATGTTTTGAAAACGCAATTAAAGATGAAAAGTAAATTCTTAAAATTTGTCAATGAAAGTCGGAACAAACATGAATAGAAAATACGCCAATTAGCTAGTGCCAGTGAAGTAATAATTATTGAAAAAAAATTAGCCCACAAAGGGATCAAAAAGTAAATAAAACATATTCGGCTAAGACCGATTTTTGTGCTCGTGCTGCAGGCTTACGCATAAAATTTAGATGGAAATTGTTATCGCTATGTCTGTTGTAATTTATAAGTAACGAGCAACAAATCGAATTTTATTTTTGAAAGCGGAGATATGTTCAAGCTATGTTGTACTGTGGCCTTGAATGGTATTGTTTCCTTTGACTGATTCGGATGCAAGACCTTCCCATCTTTCTGCTAAATTTGAAGCCGATTGCTGCATATTTGAGACCAGGGGAATGTTTACTCCAAAGACAGACAGATGGACGGACAATCGGTTTAGATTTTGATACTGATCAAGGATATATGAAGTTTGCTCGGTTTCTAAGACTTCCTTCTGGGCATTCGAAATAAAATTTCATTGGTTGACAAAACGGATAGACTCCTTTCCTATACTTTGGTGATGGATATAAAAAAAAAAAGCAAAAAATTGTTTTCAATAAAAAAGCAAAAAAAAAAATAAAAACTCCACAAGAACAAATTAAAATAATTAGTTTAAATATGCGAACAGAATATGAAAGCGACAAAAAAGCAGATAAAAGAACAAAAATCGTGCTTCGGTAATCACCGTATGACGAATATAAACCAACGTTATAAAAGAACAAATCAATACAATATCAGCAGCTTCTGCATGACAGCACAACATACGTATTCACTCACCTAAGCCTTGCGGCATTTTATTGATGATAAATTCCTTCAATTGTGCCAATTCAAGACAATCCCAAAGTTCAATATCTGTGTAGTGACCATTCGGGTCAAGATTTTCTCTTATCGTTGTGCTAAACAAATGGACATCCTGCGGTATTATCGATAATCTCGTGCGTATCTCGTCAGGATGTATTTGTGAAATGTCGATGCCATCGATATAAATAGAACCACTAGTGATTTGCAACATATGGAACAGAGACAAAGCCAATGACGATTTACCACTGCCTGTGCGACCACAAATTCCAACCTATGAATCCATGTTAGAGATTGGATTTTTTTTTTTTTTTTTTTATTGCCATTTTTTGCAGTTTTTATAATAGCACAACACATGAATGTTCCACACACGTTAGAGAGAGAGAAAGAGGAAATTAAAAAAAATTAATCGAAAACAAGAAAAAAAACTGCAATTATTTTAAAGCTAATCTATTTATATATAATACCCACTACTTAGCGGCAAACGTTCTTTTCGATGCGTCACAGTTAATTAGAGTTTACCCTATGGACTTAAACTGAAAAACTAAGTAAAGGTGTTCGGCTTGCTATTCAAATTTTGCAGCCGTCAAGATATCCCCAATGCATTGGCTTTGAATTGACCCAGAATATTACACTGATCAAACGTGTACGCTTGAAAGAGACTCCAACGCGTATTTCTGGTATTGCAAGCGTAAAGGAGCATTCAACAAATATGCCGTACTTCGTTGTGGGATGATTATCAGAAAAACAGACAAAAACGTCATAATCGGGCAAGACCGACGATGGATCACTTCGTCTAATACAATTATTTATTTATTTTCGCGATAAAACACCAAAAATCATAGCCTGTTCTCCTGCAAAGGCATGCTTCAAGCTATCGCATGGAAGCGGGCACAAAAAGTTATGTGGTCCGAATTTAACGAATGCAGTTTTATGACTTATTTTTTTGGTTATGTAATTGGAATATCAACTTTCTCTTCCTTAATTCGTGTACGCTTTCTACTTATATTTAATTTACGATTTGCGAATTTGTTTATCGATTTTTCTTTAACTTTGACGTTAAGACAAAAATTTGAAATGCTTAACTTAAATCTTTTCACCGAGAAACTTATAAGTGTGGCAAGTGAAAGAAAATGGGCAAAGAGTATGCACAAGTTGCTACCTAATGAGGAGGAAAAGAGATAAAGTTGATGGTGATCAGTCGATTGCGGACGAGTATGGCATCAGGTGCAATGATTTATTATACAATCCATCAACTGGCGATGAGAATTTCTGCTAGTACGAATCACCATAGCAAGCTCTCTAGTCAATTGTTTTCGAGCACGCAAAAGTGACTTCCGAAATGACTACGCTCACTGTATTCTGGAATTGCGCATGTTGACATCTTGAAGACACAAGTAGTTGTTTTCCATTAAAAAGATATTAACTTTAATTATTTTGTGGGACAAGATTTATTAAGTTTGCGCGCATGTATAAAACACACAGAAAGCCTTCGTACGATGGGTTGTGACGCAAGGACGCACGCTATTGAAAATGGTTAGAATTGGACCATTTTTTCGGCCACTCTTCACATAAAGTCTCATATTGAAAATTGGTTACATGAAAAAAATATTCCAATATACAGAATTACGGGGCAGAAATCGCTGAGTAGTAGAATTTTGACTTTCTAAATTCATGTGAAAAATTGGAATCGGATGGGGCAATTTCTTGAATCACCCACCATATCAACTTTCTTACGAAAACTGAATCTTTATATTGCCAAAAGTATAATTTCCCTCGATTGGTAATAGTAATTTGACGTAAACATAAGCCTTACCAAATTTGGACTACATAGGCCAATTTTTTGGATCCCACCAATGCAAGAGTTTTAATAAAAAATGAACCTTTATGTAGTACAAATGGCCTACCTTTTAATATATTGTGACGCAGGAGCTTGGCTTAGAATTTAGACCAAGTAGATCTATTTTCTTTATATTACCGCAGACAAGGATTGCCATGACGAAGCCTATATGCCAAACAGGTATAATTTTTAATATTTTATGATGAAAAATAGTCCATACTAAGTTAACAACAATGGATTTGGATAACATAGATCAATTTTTTAGACCTTTCTTCTTCTGTGGCGACAAAGTCTAATTCAACGACAACAACAACTAAAAAAATAATAAAATCTTCGCTAAAAAAATAACAAATAAACAACTAAATATGCTTGCTAAATTTGTAGTACGTTAGTTAACGTTTTTAGCATCCTCCAAATATAAGGGCGTTCTTGAAAAGTATGTCTTCACATCAAGAAAGTTCAAGAGAATGAAATATGCTAATTTTTGAGCCATCTAACAACTCATATTTGTTATGTGCCTACAACGCATACAAACATATCTGTCGTAGAGCCAATTGCAATAAATTATGATACAATATGGTAACAAGATGTACACATATTCATAAATATCATGATTGGCGAAATTTAGTTGAAAATACTCGACTATCGAACCGCTTGTTATTCTCTGTTTGCTTCCGCATAACAACACATTAAGAATAGATTGAGAATTGTCGGCTAATGAAGGATAAAAGTTTTTTCGACATGTATGCTAAAAAACTTTTTGCTCTGTTTAATTCAAATGAATGAATGCGACGCGTCAGTCCAAAAGCATCAAGCTTTCAATTCAGAAAAGATAGGACAGGCCGAAATTGGTTGGTTGTGAGCTGCTTCAAAACAACGAAACTGTACCTGGAATGAGCAACAATAGAATGGAGAAACAACCACAATATCCGAAAATACACGATAATGTAAGCTTGAATACGCTTGTCCCGATTTTGAATATCCATCAAGGAAATTTTAAAAGAGATTTGCCTACTCATTTGTATAAATAGTTCCTTTGATAAGCGATCGCTTTAGGCGATCATGGAAGGCCTCTCTGAGCATTGTTTTGCGTCCTTATGACGATTTTCAGAAACTAGGGTCTCCTTGGACAGTTTCGAAAGATCTGTTGCTTTTTCGATACGAGTGTCGTGTTCTGCCAGAGAGATGGGACAGCTTCGAAAAAGTTTCCGTTAGCGTTTAATATAAGAACAAAACGAATACGAATACGAAAAACCAGATTAATTGAATATGAACAGATTTGACGAACGAACGCTTGAGGGATAGAGTCTGCTTAAGCAAAAAGAATCAGAATTGATCTGAAATTCTCCTGAAACTGGATTAAGCTAAAACATCCGTTAAACCAAAGAGAGAGAAAAGGAGAGTTTTACCTATACATACATTAGCGCAAATCCGGTCTTGAAAGAAGAAATTTTCTATTATAATTATATTTGTATGAATGTGTCTGTGTATGAGTAAAATTTTTTGAGCACAGGATTCGATCTATGACGAATTTAAAATTTCCTCTATAGATTTATTATTTCGTTATTATTAAGAGTTATTGGAATTTTACCCTTTGTCCCGCCGGTATGAATAAAGTTAAATTCTTGATAACATCTTCTTGCTGACCTTCATAACGTAAAGAGATATTTTTAAAATAAATATCGCCACGATGGGGCCATGAAATTGGTGGATGAATGTCTGCAAATATGCAAAAAAAAAAAAAACGGTAGCATTTCAAATGAAATCGAAAGCACATGTTGAAAAACAATAATAAAAATTTTACATTCCGACAATAAAATTTATATTTTTTTTTAAAAATACGTAAGCGATTGTCAGTAACAGACTACTTGCAAAAAAAGAAAAATCAAAAATAGCATAAATATTTTAAAACAAAAAATTAACTAAACTTGTTTTGATTCGAATTGTGGATACTCATCACTTCAAGTGATAAACGTTCAAGTTGAAGTCAGTCAAGTTTTTCATCTCTTGTTGGCGTACCTACAAGCAGATGCCTTATTCAAAAGCAACGCTTCAAAACTATTTCTTTTACTTTTGTTAAAAAGTTCAAACCAAATCAGAGAAAAAGACAAAAGGTCGACTTTATTCCGAACAAAGCCATAGAGGGACATACCGTAAATACGAATATGTCACAAACGGAATAAAGAAATGAGTACATCCTGCCGTGGAAGGGAACATACTGTAATACAATTTTACAAATACAAAATTTGCGTCATTGAATGTGAGTCATGATTATGACAGCGATGACATCTGTATTCATGAAACAAATGCATTTAAAAGTAACGGAAAACAAGAGGAAAAAATTTATTGAAATTCAATTTGCGGTGAAACGAGCATTAAGGAAGCTTGTAAAATTATTATTATTTTTTTACTTAAAAGTCATGAAAACACACATATTCCGAAATTAACACATGTGGTATGGAGTTCTTCTTTCCATTAAAAAAAGAAAAAACAGCACGAATTAAAAGAGTATCTTAAAATTACATAATTCTATTGAATAAGTTGCTTTAAGTGTTATTTTTATTTTATTTTACGCTTAAAAAGATATCAATAAGTATCGAATCACCGCATAACCGATCAGGCAAGCGTTGCAAGGGAACAAGTCATTCAGTGTTGGCGGGTATAAATATCCGACCAATAGATCATACTTTTAGGGCACACATCAACAAGGGTGTAACCGCACTTTTTTCACGCCATTATCATGTCGCACATAAAGGGCACGTTCCATTTACAAACGAAAAGCGAAAATAATTTCTTATTTTTACCTTGAAGTGCAACCCGTTCTCATCGAGGTAGCGCGCAATTAAAATCATTTCGTCTTATCATTGCCATTGTCGGTTTAGATAGAAATTCAAACCAAAGGATAAATGCTCTTAGCGACTTTAACATCACGTACGAATGAAAACAAGTGCCTCTGCACATAGCACATAGCACTTAATAGCACCTAAAAATTCAATTCCACTTAGCATTTCCACATTCATTTATATAATTTTTTTCTCTCTCTTTTGTCTGTTCTTTATCTCATTCCATCTTCTTTTTTTTTTGTGCATCTCTTACTTACTATCGCCTCTTGTTTCGAATTCGTCTGCATTCGACTGCGTTTACCTTGAAAGCCGAACCCCAACTTAAAAATATACGGATAGACAAAAACGCTACACACGCACCACCCCAGACGCATTGTTTAAGAAGGCGCTCGCAAATACTTACATTGTTGGCAAATGGACGTCTGTGAAGAATGACACAAAGAACAATGTATACTGCGTTTTGCATCATTGCATTCCAAAGATGTTGAAGTTTGTAAAGAATTTTTATTATTTCTTTTATTGTTGTTGTGATTGTTATTGCTGTTACTCGTAATGTTGTCATCGAGAGTTGACTGCGTTATGCAGTTTGTTGGTTTTAGTAAAGTTTTTGCGGTGGTTGCAGCAAAAGCAGCAACATATCGATGCTCTTCTTTATCATCATTAATTGAGTGACATTGCCAGCTATCATCGTCAGCTTTTTCAGTATCCTTAACAATATTATCACCGGTAACAATAGTAGCAGAGGGAGAAACAGAAGGTTTTGTATTGTCGTCATCATCAACATTGTTCTCAAACGTGTGTAACAATTTATCTTTGTGAACATTGATTACGCTGTTGTCGCCGCTTGAAGTAGAAGAATACTTTTGATAAACTTTAACCAATTTGACAGTTTTGTTTTTCTCTTGTTTGTCTTCTGTTTTCTTCAACATATTTGATATTTCGTTCTTGACGTTGATATCATTGTTCTTGTTGCCGCTTTTTCTTTCAGAATAATATTCAATACGCTCAACGGAACCTATATAAGTTTCCATATCGGCCAAAAGTTTCACGACCCAGTTCAGATAGATTGGTATCAACAGCGAGTAGTTAATTACTAAGCCGACAAGCGACGGAGCTGGGGAATAAGTTTTCAGGTCTAATGGCGCGCGTTCTTCTAGATCTCGCTGTTCCAGTGATTGTTTCTGATGGCAGGCAATAGTGGCCATCAATAAAGCGGTTAATATGGTCACAAACACGATCACGCCACCGAGACAATCCTGTTTGTTATTGCCGGAGTTACCGGCAGAACGAAAAATTAAAAAAGTTAGTATTAACAAATTGTCATTGAGAACTGTCGCTTATCATTTTCCATATTTTCACGACAAAGATTAATTAAAAGAACTTTTTACACAAATAAATTTCATCTTAATCATCGTTTGCTTTCCTGAAGGAATAAAAAACGAGTTTTATTCGTTTTGAATCGAACTTTGCATTAAAAACTCACAGCAATGTAATTAGGAAAAAATATTCCTATGCCCCACCTACAAGGAAAGCACGTTTTGGGGGTTTGAGGATCTTTTTCTCCTTCTTTTAAGTATATATAATTTAATAAAATAACAACAAAACAAAAAAAGTTTGATAAATTAAACAATTTAAAAACTATTTTAATTTAATAAAATAATACCGAAAAAAAATATTTACAAATTCATCTACATAAGTGTAGTATAAATTCAAATAATGCCAAGCATATTAACGAAAATATTGCATCACAGAAAAAGTTCATAGCGTTTGTTTTGGTTGGTGCTAAAAGGTGTATTAAAAAAAGAAACGGTTTCATCTTCGTTCATATGAAACCAAATTCTGAAAAAATTTCCTTATTTTATACAATCGGCCAAGACGATAATGATTTGTGACAAAATTGCTGTAATTTATAGTGAATTTGCGGCCAGAGATTTCCGTATGTAAGACACGCCACGCTACTAGTACACAAAATTGTTGAAACTCTTCACAAAGTTAAGGAAAACCGTCACATTTCGTCTTATGACGGTTGCAAACCCTGGATTCAAATAGAAATTCAATATTTGCGCACCACATGAACTAACAATAAAAAAACATAATGGATTGGATTGCTATCTATGAATCGCTTCTGAAACAAAACGAAATCCACCCAATTTGAAAAAATTGATGTCGATGTCATATACGACAATGATATGCGAAAAAAATACAAGTCCCTTTATCCTGGCCAGATTGCCGGCTCGATTGTCATCAGCATGTGCGATTAAAGCGCTTAGTTGCTGCGTAACGCCCAGAATTTGTCATCAGGAAATCTGCCATCTTCCATAAGGACAATGCCAAGCCACGAACGTCTTTAACAATTGAAGGGAATTTTACAGACTTCATATATATACATATATATATCATAATATGTAGAAATCATGTATATACATATAGTGTCACTACCGCTTATTTACTATCTGTGAAACTCTCTTAAGATCAAGTTCCAAGAGGCCTGTAAAAATGGCTTCATTCTCCCCAAAACCCTACAAGGTCTAACGCTTTCAATAAAAAAATTGGAAAAGACTATCTCTCAAAATGGCAGATGCTTGGTATAATAAAGAAGAGCTTTTATCTTTCGCCACTATTACAGTAAATACATATATGTACGGCGAACCGCCGAATATGTGAAGAGAGGAGGTAACAATGTGTGTGCAAACGTGATATAAGTGAACGAGAGAGAGTAGATTAACAATTTTTGAATAATATAAAGGATTTTTTCGAAGAAATACGTGAAAGTCGTGACGTGCGATTTTCATCGCATAGATCTCACTACGTATGTGACTTGTAACCTTTTGTCCCCCTTTCCAATTAAAAGCTTATGACGCTTATTCGACCATACTTTACCATAATTTGAGATGACTTTTTCATACACTGACTTACCAACGCTATACCCAACCATCGGTTACTCGTTGTCATTATCGTAAATGATATAGTGTTTGCTTCCAATCGCTTAAATAATATTTCCATAAATCTTGACTCCTGATTATAGGCACGTATTGTTGTAACACCCTGTATAGTTTCTGTTAAATGTGATATAATCGGTGAGTTTGTAGCATTTTCGATTCGTTGCAGCTCTCTATGCAAATCAACCGCAAATAAATCGAAAAATATAAACGAAACAATAATAAAACACAATCACGGAGTCGTTACTTTATATATAAACATTTTCAGGTGAATAGACAAAATAACACAAACGTTACCAGCAACCAGAACTAATGTCATATAATACCGATAGCAAGCACGGCTGATGCGTTTTCGTCTTGATATCGCCAACCAACTACACACAGAGCACGATGCAATGTCAATTGTAAACGTAGCTGATGTGGTCAGCCGTCATGCTTACTCATCACCTTTAATAATACCCAGACAGTTTTTGTATAACCATTTTTTGAATCAATATCGGCTATGGAGTACAATTCATTGTTTTTTACCTCACTTTTTTTCTTTTTCTTGACCTGTTGCGATAATTTCGAATACAAATTTTGTACACGCATTACACGTAACGTGGGGGAAGAAGGAGTAATTTATGATAAGAAGAAAATTTAATTAAAAAAACCACCAGGATCCACACATACATGTAGAGTCCACATGAGGCAATTTTCGCATTGATTCAAATATTTCGTATTAAACCTGTGACTACTGGCGACGTCTCAAAGTAAGAACATGTTGCAGCAAAGTGCCGCAAATAGCAGTTTTATATTGACAACATCGATTTAACGTCTTCCACTAGTTGCTTATACACACACGTAATTTTTATGCCCTGCATTCTTAATGGAGCAGGGATTATAAGTTCGTGCGACATCTGTCCATCCGATGACCGTCTATTTATTTTTTGCATTCAACGTTCAGATGATAAATGTTCAAAATTATTTGTTGAAATTTGATGCATGTATATATATTTTAATCCAAGGACGGACACTCTTACCATCGTTATTCATATAAGACCCAATCTTCTTACAATACTTTTCGAAGAGGACATAAAAAGTTAAGATTCGGTTTCCCTATTTTATGACTGCCAGAACCGAGACATGAAAGTTTCTATAAAAAATTATTGGTCAATTGTCTAATCGGTCTATTGGTCTAATTGGTAATAAGGACCAATTTTAATGTTGGTCTAAGATTGACGACATATTGAATATTGATCTTGAACAGTAGTCTGACACATATAAGGATTATCATGAAGAGTAAGTCTTTCTACGGCAACAATTTTTACTATTTTATGGCGAAAAAGTCATGTGGGTTGTTTAGCGGTCGGTCTTACCTAGCTATAACGTGTTTTTTCATTAAGAGCTTTTTTTTACTATCATATTAAAAAAAGCATTGAAACGTAGCGCAAATTGATTTTAAATCAGATTATATTACTTACCTCGATGAACACCTATAGAAGCTCTGCACAATGTAATAGGACGCACATATGGGTAGCGTTAACAATATGAACCAAGGGGTTATGGCAACATTTATTAACACGGCGCACAAACACAGCAGACTAAACTGCAGCAAACGTTGACTTGTTGCAGCAATTTTCTGAAAAGCAGACAAAAAAAGGTCAAAAGGAAATCGTAAAAGATAACGATAGAGAAAAATATATTAAATATGCTATAAAATCAAGAAAGTGAAAACTTGCTGTTTATTAAAATTTAATCTCATCTCATTAGAAACAACTGGTAATACTCAGAGGAACATGGATAAGAGCAGCAATTTGAACGGTTACTTTTAATTAAACATATACGGTTCGGCCGAAGGCTCCCGCCTTTATGTTATTCCCTATGTAGGTAGACGGTCATGTTTAAATTAATGGTTGAAAACGAATTTCACGATGATTACGCCTACGAAAATTCAATGCAAAAGTTCGCACCACATTTTTAAAAGTTAACAAAAGCATACGTTTTTACTTGGCCTGCGATTACACATGACATACACGATTGGTTAACGTGTTCGTCTTTACGGGCCACATAAATTGTATTAACTTCAATGAAACGTGGTTATAAAAGCTTTTGAAAAGGACCTTGTGCTGCTGTCCTTAACACATTCGTTGCATCGACAACGAAATAATGACTTTAATCCAAACAATAAATGTCATTATAGAGCAACTTTCAATAGGGAAAGCGACTTTTTCTGCGGTTTCGTGGCCAACAATGGACACAGAAAAGAGTTGCGATATAATGATGTATATCTCTTAGTTCGATGTGGGATTTATTTTCGCATAACCATATGTCTTTTAAGGAAATAAACAACTCTCTCTGGCGTGACAACGCTAGACTATGTCACTCTACGAACATGTCTAGAAATATCCCTTAAAAACTATTTTATGAACTTTTCGGACGTGAACTATACACTTTCTAGACGAAATGAATATATATTCAAAACATTGGGGAACACTTACCGAGCATGATATAGATTATTTTGTTAATTAGTGCAAGACCTTTTCATAAAAATGTCTTTAATCTAACTTGATGTTAAATCGTGCCCGAACTATGTAATACGTTGGCCGGATTGACAACACTTCCTTATTCACGCCAGATTATATCAGGTTTTTGTTGTAAATTGTTCACCATTTGATTTTCTTCTTTGTCTTATTATGAAGGCAAAGGCCACTGTAACGGCTAAAAAGTAATTTTTGGCTACTTTTCAAAGAGAGATTTCGGGAAAAGTGATGGAATAGTAATGATCGAGAAGTTTATTGGGGATACATTTAAGTGTTTAAAAAAAACAATTTTATATGAAAAATATTAAAATATTCAACGCTACGTCGGCTCGAATTTCACACGACATCTTTAGGTTAAGTGAGCATCTTTAATAAAAATCCCATATGGTTTCGGTGTAAACATGATTCTAAAAAAAAATTATTATTTAATCCACATGTCTATAGTTAAAAAATCACATAAGGACTTTTAAAAACATGGATTGTTTGTTTAGAAAAACGTTGTAGTTTCGATAAAATATTTCAATATTTCAACTCGTGTTCTGGAAAATGTTATTTTAACGATGTTGCGAAAGAAATTCAAACGAAAAAAATAGAACCGTAGGGTTTCTTTCGTGGATCATTTTGAAAAATCATGTTTCAAGAATAACGGATTGAAGTATTCGTTCCCATCATCTTTACCCGAAAATCTTATGCTCGAAAGAGTCTGTTTTGGGCCATCTGCTAAAGATAGAATCACATACTTTCCACTTTACGTGCCGAGGGCAATAACTGAACGCATACCCCAATAACTGAGTTCATAGTTAGTAACAAAAACTTTATTCTCAACTTTTAATTTCTTGGCAGAAGCATTGATTCCTTTTGAATCGCTTTCAACCGCATATCAATTCAAAGATAACTTCGGCGTAGATGCTTTAATCTAACTTGTTTTGGAAATGCTTTTCAAAAGCATCTGTTAGTGTATACGAGAAGCTAGAATTCATGAGGCGTGGCAGGAACTGTTTTCGGAATTTCGATATATTCTTACAGGTAATGAATCTTTTTCCCCATTTCCCAGAAAAAATATTCAAAAGATCGTGTGAAACTATAAAGAAAATCTTTTGTATGAAAAATTTAAAATGGATTCCCCTCTAATATCGTCAGGTTTGCTACTGTTTTACACCTCTCGGTAAATTTTTTATTTAAAGAAAACCCGTTTAACATGCATATTAAGTAAATATTCAATATTTTGCGTTATGTATTTGCTCAGTGAAACCATAGACGCGCATATACGAAAGGGTGTTTTTGTTCATAAAAATTCTCCTCTTACCGCTGTCACTCACCTTATCGATAATCTCCATATCATTACTGAAACGATTCAGTATACGACCAAGTGGAGTCACTTGGAAAAAATGCAATGATTTATTCATAATTGCTTGCAAAAGCTTATCGTGCAAATTTCGCCGAGCTTTACAGCCGGCCCATTGGCCGATCGTCGTTGATATTATTGCCATTGCTAGGCATGTACACGATGTAAATGCATAAATATGAAAATAATATGTGATATCATAGCGCTCGTCAACATCGGCAACAACATTATCATCAAAATTTGCATCAGGTTTGTTGTATGCTTTCGCCACTACCTCGCTATCGTTATTATATTGTTGTGACCCCGATACGATGGTAGATAATAACAGTGTTGATGGCATTGCTTTTGCTGCTGTTGAAAAGGTCATAGTAGTAGTAGTAGTAGTACTAGTAGTAGTGATGGGAATGATGTGTTTTGTAGAAGCTATACTCAATTGTTCTATAGAAGATACATTTGCGGACATATTCAATGATGTTAATAGGGTTGGTGTGCTGCTGTCACTCCATTGCTGCAGCCAGACGTCCGTGTAAACGCGCAAACTTTGCCAAATTAGCGCAGCAATGAAAAATATGAAAACTTTTGAATAATCTGATGCTCGCAAATACAACAAATATATTTCCGCCGGTATTTGACCATATTTTCGTTCGCAATCATTTACAGTCGTTGCTTCGTTTATGCTTTGCCGATTTACCGTGCTGGCCACCGTGCTTTGCGAAGCACTAAAAGCATCCGTACTATCGAGTGTCCATGATGGCTTTGTAATTGTGGTTGTTGTTGTTGTTGTTGTTGTTGTTGTGCCCATTTTCACCATTGCTTTTGGAGTGTTTGCTAATATTTCGGGGTTATCTGTAAAATGCAAACAAACCCACACTACAACACGTTCTTGTAAAAACAAAGTATTTTACAAAACCTGTGTTTACGCGCACATAGAAAACGTGAAAAACTGAGCTTGAAAGGTTTTCTCTTTTTTTTATTTATTTATTTTGTGTACATAAACCGACTGAAAATTTTCCCATATGTGTGCGTTCGCATTGTTCGTACATACGTAAGCGTACATGTGTACATATTTTGGGTGGGCATAATAAAAATATGGGGCATGTAGTGTATATTATTTTTAAAAATGTTTATATAAAAATAAATAAAAATCAATTCTTAAAAACCATTGCGCCCATTTTGTTGTGTAGAATACCATTAAAATTTTATTTAATTGTTTATAACACATCCACACAGCTAGCTATAAAATGTACACATATATAAAAAAACAAAGTATCATAAAAAGTAAATTCATGAGAATCGCACACCCGTGCGAATCCCCCACCCCCCCTCTCCGAGTGAAAAGACTCTGTTGACTCAATCCCTAATGAAATTGCAAACGACAATGAAAACTTAGTACACTTGCACGAATGCACGGGTGATGAGGTCTATAAAAACGTGTGAATTGTTACACCTTTTTGCTAAACGACAAAAGGAATTTTTTCGCGTCCGGATATATGCCCGGGAAAAGCTTCCTATGTGAAAACATTTTATTACCATTTATTTGAGAAGTAAGACTCAAATTAATTCGAAGGCATAGGAATGAACGAAAGACGAGTTAATTAAATTTCTTCATTAAAACTGTGCAAATGCCATTAGCGGAACAAGAAAAAGATGAAAATCTTAACTTCGATATCCTTTGAGCTATTACTACCACCAATGAAATTATTTCTCATTTCCTATGGAAGCAAACTTTAATTAACTTTGAAATGCTTAACGAATGATAGTTTTTTAGGAAATGATCTCTTTTTGCGACTTTAAAAATATAATGAATTCACATTTTTTCTCTCGCTTTATTTTTTTTCATCTCTATTCTGTTACTTTGTTCTTTGCTTTATCATCTTCTTTTAATACCTGTGCGGTGTATGTTGTTGGCACTCCACTCGTCGCAAAAATAAAGATATTGACTTCAAATTAGGTGGAAACATTGGAAGTTTCCGCACGGAGGTTGATGTTGAAAATGGGCGCAATTAGTTAGAGCAAAAGTGCGCAATAGAGCGTAAACTGAACACAACTCAGTTTTTTTAACAAAAATTTTTGGATTTTTGCTCTTTTTATTAAGTTATTAAAGTTAGAAAGTAGTTAGTTCCACATTTGCTTTACGGGACAGTTAAGTCTCTTAGTTCAAAAATGGAACAAATCAGCCGTGCCCACGCAAACTTACGAGTAATTAAGTTTAATTTTTTTTTTGACTTTTCTGAGGTTAAATGCCTATTTATCGTAAGGCAAACAAGACAGACTGTCTGGGCACTCCTCAAAAAAGATATATTATCTGTCTAAAAATGGGTTTATTTTAAATCGAATATGGTAGACACTGCGGTTAATTTTTTCTTAATGATACTAGCGAGATGGGTATCAAATAAAATGAAGATGGAGTGTAGAACGCCAAAAACATAGTGGAGGCTATGCGAGATTCGGCAATCGCCGAATATAAAATTCTTACTTGCTTCTATTCATATTCTATATTTATTGGCAGTATAGTTACCTTGAGTGCCTTCTCCACTTTTAATGAAAGAATTCGAATCTTGGTTTCTTTCTATGTTAGTTTCCGATGTCAAATTATTTACTTGCAATGGCGGCATACTCGCAGGAGTGAAGACAGAAGATTCCTCAGAAATGCTCCTATGATTGCGTGAAAAAGACAAAGAAAATTGTAAAATAAAATTTTCAACCCTGAACATGATCAAAAAATTATATATATGTGCTGTTCCCTTAATCTTCTAATGTCAATCGCAAATGTCACATAAATATTATATTAAAAGGGTTCCATCCATTTTCAATTTGACTTTAAGTGAATGTTGGCCTTGGGGTCGACATTTTAAGAGAGCTTCACTTTGTTCCAGTTAAGGAGTTTTCTTAATTCACTATTACCGCGGATTTCCGTTAACGTAATTCATGGATAACCTTTGCTCAAGGTTTTTATATGAATTTTAGTTTGCTATTAAGAAAAGCAGAGAACGGATCGCAAATTCACAAGCAAATGTACCGTACAAATGTAGAAAAAGTCGGATCGGATTGTATGCTTTATTGCTTATAGGTTTTTCTGTCTCATTGCCAGGAGACACATATGGACATCAATCTGTTTCGATCGAAAGGCATGAGACACATATGACAGCTTATTAAAGACTTTGCATATAAAATGTACTCGATTTTTGTTACGTCTAATGCACGAATAGTAATCGAGTCCTTTTTTTTATGATGATTCCATTTGAATTACCACTCACATCTGGATAAAACATAATTAAATTATTTCAACCTTTCTTTAAGCAAGTTGATTACATATTTTGAGCGACATGAATTTTGAATGACTTTGGAGCGGTTTTTCGATCTTAACTCATTTTTTTATGGCATTCGCTCGATTGTTTTTTGTCGCATGCATAAATCCAAGTCTCATCTCCCGTAATGATGGGTTCCATGACGTTCTCATAGTCAGAAAGCATTCTTTGATTCACGTTCATATCTCTGCTACAATTAATTTATTGAGCTCTATGTGGTTGTCAAAAATTTCATGACTTCATGTCAAAATTCATCTCATTTTTTACTTGCGGCCTTAATAAAAACTTTAAGGCTTAAATCGTGAAAAAAATTATCGACAAACTTATCGAAAATGTACTTACAAGATCCCACTATCTGCAGAGTGGCGGGGCAAACGGTTACGACGTCTTCCGGAATTCGTCACCTCTTTATAAGATTTCCTCGTAGACATGCGTTGCAAGAATTGCTGGAAACCGCCATTAGAATGCGTTGATTTCACCAAATCTGCCACTAAATTAGCATCGGTTGCCCTGTTTCCTTCTTCTTCTTCTTCTTCTTCTTCTAATTGCTTAATGAGGGGCGATACTTGTTGAGTTGACAAACGTTTTTCAACATCATCTCGTTTAGTCGCATAACGGCTGTAACTATTTCCTAAAGCACTTTGTCGCAATTCTTTGGATGTATTACTAATACTGAAACTTCGTCGACAATCACCGATTTCACTTTGGCTGTTGGTGCGACGTTTAGATCTTAAGACAGTGTTCTCCATTTGGCATTCGTCAATGGGCAGCGGAATATCATACATCAAATGACGTGAACTGTACACAATCGACAAAGAGCGTTGAGCTTTGAATGAGTTACCATTTTGGAAACGCGTGAAAGTCTGTAAAACAATTTTTTTAATTTCACTTCACTTTCTATTTTATTCCATTGTTGCTATAAACTGTCACTGAATTGATTAATTTATATAAAATGAAATTACCATTAGTGACTCAAGGCCAGCGACGCTTCAGATCTAGAAATAATTGTGCAAGATAGCTTTTTAACGCGTAATGATACCTAAAGTAGCTCAGGAGCGACCTTTACACTTTACCAATTATCTTGAATCTATTGACATTACAGTAATATTCAGATTATGTATGATCCCCTGTAAAATTCAAATGATGACCGTCCTTAAATTGAGCAAGCATTCGATCCTCACAGGCCGAGTTCTCTACAGATAGATTTTTCAAATCCCCTGCTTTCACGTTCAAAATGTAATAAAATACCCAAATGCATGTAAATTTAACCATAAAATGATAAAATGCGTAGCAGAATTGGGCTGCTCCACAACTCTCGAGATGCAACTTCGTTGAAAATGCGTCAAAAATGCCAAAGTAAAAGCCATTTTCTGGTATTAGAACTGGTCACAAGTCGTAGGTGAAAACAGTTCATGGTGTGTTCTTGGCTTTGTATCAAATTTAATATTTCGAAACAGCTGTCACAAGATCAATAGCAATTTGTTTTGATAAAGCCAACTTTTTATAACACGGAACGCACTACTATAAAACACTTTCTGGCTCGCGATGTCTCTGTAATATCGCTTAGACTACGGCTGTCAGAGTTTTTTTTAGGAGAAAAAGTGCTGGCAATGATGTTCATTAGTTCCCACACGAATTATATAAAAATTGTAATTGACTGTATTGCGGCTGCCTATTGAACTCACTGAATTTATCCCTTTCCGAGTATTTGAATTCATTTAACTAACATGAAAAAATTGAAACATTTCTTCTCTCTTACACTCTACTTACGTCATCATCACTTTCTTCCGACAAGATTTCATGTGATGTCGCGCTCTCTATAATTGATCTTCCATCCACGGAATCATGTTTACATGAGCACATTGATGACGGTCCTGAAGTAGGACTTTGTAAGGCAAATTTGGCAACATTTCTGAACAAGTTCCAACGTTCTTTTGCAGTACGTGTCTGCGCACCAAAGGCATCATCGAGAAGACTTGAAAATGTAAAATGAAATTTCAAATGCATTTGGAAAGAAGTGAAAATATTAAATACCCTACAAATCGCTTATTACAATTATTCATAACGCCACATATTTTTTCTTATAATGACTTTTGAAACAAGGCTTTATGTGAAAAGTGATTGAAAAATTCGACCCGAAATTTCATCAAAATATCTCAAAAACTGGGATCTACAGGTTTCAAAATAAATACACATCAACAGACAAATTGTATTGAATGGCATAATAAGAAATTTGTGTATTTTAAGCTCTTCTAAGCTTATGCCACAAACGGTGTAGGGTATAAAATCTTCCAGATACATTTACTTGTAAAAAAAAAAAACAACAAATAAAAATAACAACTATAACTACGTTAATTTGAAAAGTGTAAACAACATTGTTGACAAACGCATAAGTAAGACTTTTATAATTCTCTTCCCCCCACTTCTTATCTGAGTTCTACAAATCACAATGAAAACGTATACTGCTCTCTTTTACTGAACTTCATTACCACAAACCCAATCAAGAACTCACTTGTTCTCCTGCTGTTGTCGTTTCTCTTCTTCTTCAATGGATTTAGCAATTATTGAATTCCATTCAGCAATTATGTGTGGATGAGTAACTTCAATATCCTCATAACTGCCGGAAGCTTGTAGGCAACCATCATTCAGTACAATTAACTGACAATATTATCCAAAAAAAAAAAAACGAAACGAGAAGAGAAGAGAAAGAGAAAGAAAAATGGTAAAATGAAAAAAGTTCATTTATAGAGGATGATAAAAATAATAAAAAAAAAAACACGTGTTATGATAAAATATATTAGCATAAGAAAATATCAATGAAAAAAAAATTGTTATAAATTAATTTTATTTCGAAAAAAATATGAAAACATAATCGAATATTCAATAAGCAAAAAACTTGTGTACGCCTTAAGGCGCCTTAGCAATACGTGCTTCTTAAGTTCAAAATCGCGCGTCACGTCTACAGAATTTATAGCATGTTTTTGAAGTAAGTGAAAATAAATATATATGTAATCACATGATTAGATAATGAAGAAAAAATATTAATATAAGAGTTTGCCTAAGCGCCCCAATGGGATGATAAATTAAGCATACCCGCGCAGTTAAGATATCAAATACAAAAATACCTATAAATTTTCATTAGTTTGATTAATAACAGGAAAATACTGACATTTCAATAATTGAACAAATAAAAGACCAAGCACGGAAGCATTTATTTCGTAGGTATCAAGGGAACGAAACTGTTATTATAAAATATTTATTCTTCATCATACTCTTCTTCTTAGCTGTTGTGTGCTCTTGTATTCTCTCCCACTTTTTGCGCCAATGTATACTTACATAGTCGGCTTGATGCACAAGCTGCAGTTGTTGTGTCACTAAAATGACAGTGCGATTGGCTTTTGAAAGCATTTTTTTAATACTTTGCTCAAAAACGTGATCTGCCACCTTACTGTCCAACGATGAGAAAGGGTCATCCTTATGCAAAAGGAAAAAGAGATGTATATGGACAGATATATCTATTGCTTTCATCATTCTCGTAAGTGTCAAAAGCAAATGTTGTTTTGCAAAATATTTGCGAAAAATGTAATGAAAAATTTGAATAAAAGAAAATTTATAACCTTCTCTTACCATTATCACTACATTGGCCGATGAATATAATGCTCGTGCAATGGCAATCCTTTGCCTTTGGCCGCCTGATAGATTAACACCTCTTTCGCCAATCATCGTTAGATCAGCGGAGGGCATCAATGCTATATCTAACTTCAAAGCGCATGTTTCTAAAACACAATCGTAACGTTTTGGACGAAACTCTTCACCAAATAATATATTCTCCCGTATACTAGCATTCCGAAGCCAAGGTTGCTGAGGCACGAAAGCTAGTGTTGAGCTTCTAAAAGTCCAGAGATTATATATTTCATTAAAATATTCAAAAGTCATGAATGTAAAGTGTTCAAGTTTTACTTAAGGCGGGACGCTACCGTGACGATCGCCTAAAACAAGTGCTTTTCTAACAATTTTTTTAGAAAGGAAAGCAAAGTAATGGAATAATGCTATTCGAAGAGATTATTAAATATACATTTATACATAACTATTACACAAAAAAAAGTACTTTTGGAAAAATGGAAAAATGAAGATCAGGGGAATAATTCTCGTGAGGCATGGTCAAAGGCCTTAAAAGTGACCGAGCTTAACTGATTTGAATTGATAGAACATTTTAAAAGGTTCAAAGGGTCTGCCTGGCCCAAAAAAAAAAACAAGTAAGAAAGTTATATTCGACGAGGACCAAATCTCGCATACCCGCCACTAGTCTGTTCGCACTCTACTCTCCAAGTTCTTTTATTTGATACCCATATCGCTGGTATTATTAAAGAAAAATTAATCGCGATGTCCACCATATTCATTTGAACATTAACCCATTCTTAGGCCGATAATATATCTCCATTAGAGGAGTGTACAAAATACTTTGAAACATTCTTTTTTGTTTGCCTTATGACAAATAAGCATAAAACCTCAAAAAGGTGAAAAAAATAAAATTTAATTACTCGTAACTTTGTGTGGGCTTGGGCGATTGCTTTCGCTTTTGGACGTAAAGGGTAGAGTGTTTCGCAAAGTAAATAGGAAATAATTTCAATCTTCTAATTTTGATAATTTCCGAATAACGGGCAAAAATCCAAAAATTATTGTTGTTAAAAAAAACGGAGTTGCGTTCAGTTTACGATACACTGTACGCTTCTGCTCTGAATAAATGGGCCCGTCTTCAATGCCAGCTTGTGTTCAGAAACTTCCTTTCTTACTATCAAATTTGAAGTCGACATTTTCATTTTTGAGAAGAAGAGAGTGCCAACAACACACACCACAGACAGATGGACAGACATAACTAAATCAATTTAGAATTTCACGTTGATCAAGAGTATATGTACTTTATAGAGTCTCTGAAGCTTCGTTCATTTTGGGTGCTACATAAATTACGGAAAAAAGGCAAAATGAGTACATACCCATCTTACAGTGGTGGGTATGAAAATTATAAAAACTGTACAATAGTTTTGCTTCTTAAAAGAGAATTTACCGTTGTCCAAAAATTTTTTCGAAAGTGAAGTGAAACAACAATCAAAGCTTATCTCTTTACCATCAGATCACAACGTGACAATTTCCACATAAGTTATATAGTTTCATACTTCAGAATGACAACGTAATTAATTTTCCTCGTTTTTTAACCATTTCTCCGTAAACTGTTTAGTAGACGTCAATCAAACTTCAGTAAGGAGATCTGTTTGTCGGTCCTATAGAGGGAGCCTTTGTTCGTGCTGCGTTAAGTTTATTTAAGTTTGCTTATAATTCACTTATTCCATAAATGTTGTACGATATAAATTACGATCAAACGAAAAATCCTAGTGAGGCAAAGCCCAAGGATAGCTCGGCAACCAACTGGTGTACAGTATGCGATCATCTAAACAGCATAGCAAGCCGAGAAGAAACAGTACAGATTGCGCAAAGAAAGACAGTAGTATATGAGATTTCCCCTAATAGCCTTGCTGACCGGAAGCATCTCGGCAGGACTGCCTATCTGCTTAATGTGAATACTTGATAACCAATCTGCTTATCTACTTATCTCTCATCTATCTGAACACCGCAATAAGTGTTTTTTAATAAGTAAATATGCTTCAGATTATTTCATTAAATATTGCTTTAAATAATTTTGTTACTGTAATGGTAATGGGAAGAAAAACCAATCTTAACAAGAATCTTCATAAATTATACGCATCTATGTAAAGATGCATACCGCACCCAAAGCCATAAAATAGAAATTACAACTTAATGCCATAAATTCAATTTAAACGCAATAAATGTAATTTTTTTCGTTACAAAAGAATGCCACCAAACAAGTAGTCGAGTGCCTCTCTCTAAATGTTTTCATGTTTCCAATAAAGCGAAAGTGTATATTAACTTTATCTCTTCGTTTGTCCACAAAGTGTAAATATTATTGAATCGTTGCTCTATTTATCTACAAATTGTAATATTATCCCTGCTCGAGTGGCGGACAAAGTTATATTACAATTTTCCTGAACGAATTGTCGGTCTTAGCGAATCGAAGATATCCTTAAATCTTTCTACGAAATATTTTATATGAAAATAAGCGCAGAAGAGAGTTGAGAGCATGAGAATATTTTGCATTACATTATATAATTCGTCGGTCACGTCTCCAGTACATTTTATATATAATTTATTGTATCTTTACGTAATCCATAAAGAATATATATAATGTAAAGTATTATTATGTATTTATAGTGTCCTCAAGACTTCTTTTAAAAAGGGACAATGTTCAGCTCAAACTGAATTTATTTCGCATTTTATACTCATACAAATATGTATGTATGCGTACATGTGAATGGTTTCTTCCTGCTGAGTAACATGCATGTCCTATTATAAAATAAATGGTAGTAAAAATTTGCAGTATATGTAAGACCGACCGCAATGATAAGCAGCAATTCCATCAAGTTGTAGTTTTGCTTTTGGGCTAAACGCCAACGATTTGTAGTCAAGAACACATCTATATTTTGTCTATAATTTGCGCCATGCTTGCCTTATGACAACTATTTATTGACAATGGACAATTTATTATTTCGCCACATTCAGCGGATAGATTTCTAATGTCAATTGCACCCTACTGAGAAGGCCGCAAGCAAAGGCCAAAATAAAACGTAAATGTGTATCTGAATCTTATCGCAATCGAAGAAATAAACGGCTTTCATGAACAAATGCTAGAACTAGAAGGCAGTCAGTAAGGCAAAGACAGCTGTCATATGCAAAAAGCATTTTACACTGATTTTGATTCCTTTTGCTCAATCTATGTTGTCCTGTTACGGGGTTTCAAAAGCTTTTGGGAAAGCAACAGCGTCCTAAGTATTTTTACTATTGAAAACGCCTGAGTTCGTGTCTGATAACAAGTATTTGTGGTAAAAGTTAGTTTTCTTGCTTAGCGAGGACAACGATAAGCAGCACAAGCTACGTGAATCATTTACATCACCGATAAAGCCAAACACCTAAGGCGTATCCCTTTTTAAGGGTCAGCAGCTATTTCAAACCAAAGAAACCATTCCTTGCAACAGCCACTACGCGATAAGCGAAAGATTGGTTTTATGTCATCGCTACTCGGGCTCACATTGCAAGACCTGTCCCAGCATTCATTTCTTGCACTTAAAGCGTTTGCTATTCCTTCTAATCAAATATGTTTTATTGGTACGTCGTAAATCGGATACTCGCCAAAATGAAAGAGTAGACAAAAAATCCTCCAAATTTTATTGAAAAGAGATTTGTGAAAAAATTGGAAAAATTTTAAAAAGAAATCATTTTTCAACATCACAACACTATTCTAAAGCATTATTAAATTTTTTTATATATAAAGATATTCGCTGCTGTGAATAACATTCACAATCCAACGATGCGAACTTAATTGTGAAATGTCAGATGTAAATAGAGTAAGCGAATATTACATTCGGGCATAAAACTTTATTCATTAAATTTTTAGTTAAAATGGGACTAATAAAGAAAATATTACAATATAATCAGTAATGCTTTGTCCCCTTACTTGCATATTACTTTCATTCAATCCATTTGTATGATATGAATATTGTATGTTAACCTCGCGTGGAGTAAAGGTATTATAGTTAGTTAGTATTTTTTTTTTTTCCTCTTTCAAATTAAATGCTTTTGTTTGATGCATTAATTATATTCACGATGGACGTAGATGTGCTAATTGGGTCAATCCCTTTGTAAAAAATTAATAAAGCAGTAAAAACGAGATACGCGACTAAGGCTGACCATTAAATACTGCACGTCACATCCCCTAATACAACTCTCCATTTGTTTTCCTGAAAGAAATACCAAAAGTCATATCTTATTTTCATATAAAACCATAGTTACACACTTGTACGGAAGGGGAACCAGAAGGTGAACCGATATGAAATAGTCTTGCGAAAGATCTTTTTCTTAGTAAAAATAATTTTCGTTCCCTTGTGAAGGCTTAGTTTGCATGGGATGGATCCATAGACTAAACCTTTTTGGATTTGTCTTCCACTCCTCCTGAATATTACATGCATCCGCAAAACCTCAACGGATTTTGGCGTAATTTATGAAAATGTTTTTGCCATTAGGAGATTCTTGCCAGCACCTTTTCTTTTTTAATATATATACGGGGAAATGAAATCTGGCAACTACAAAGCTAAATGCACGCTGAATAAGGATCACACAAAGAAATAATAAGAAAATAAGGGATTAACAATTGAATAAGTCGGGAGTCGAAATCCGTCGAAGAATCGTATCTTTGGGAATTATCTTTACTTTTATATATAATTTTGCGCTAATTTTAGTGAATGACTAATTTTCATAAATCAGAAAGAAAAAAAAAAATAAAATTTATTTGGGTAGGCGTATGTGTTTTCAATCAATAACTTACGATGTCTATAGTTTAACTCGGATAGTTACCAAAAATCAGTTCGATGCGTTTTAGTGAAAAAAGGAAAACACCACTTAAATATAATTGATATTCAAGGCGAGTGCAGTGAATGTAGCTCTCTGTCCTGTTTGTATTAAATACATATAAAATCTGATTTACATTAAGTGTCCGGGAATTTATTATGTACAAATCCCTCCCACCGTTCATCTAAACGTTTAATTAATGTCTAATATATTATGTGTGGCGAAAACCAGAAAAACATGAAAAGAAGCACTTATTATATAAATATTTAGAAGGGATTTTGTTTATGTTCATGTTCGTTTAACGGTATAGAACATATATACATTTGGTTTATATGTTTGGTGGTTTAGGTGTTTAGTTTAGGAAAAATTAAACACATTTTGCCGGTATGCGCTGGTTTTAAATAAATTTGAACAAAACTAGAACGAAATCAATGACACTGTTCGCCACGGCAAACGAGATTACAATGTGTGCCCGCGGTCAGTACTAAGGGTACATAATACATAATAAACCTTCATTGCACAGCATTTAGGCACAGTTGGGAAAAAAAAGAAAATTTAAATTATTATGAAATTACGTATGGAGAATAAAATTTTTCAAAATTTTCCCTCTCCACCCTCTACATACATATCCACAAATGTACTAATTGTGTAACTTGACGTTATACGCGAATAAGGTATACGCTCTTTATCGCCATACTAGCCAGTCGGTCGGTACCGAAAAATCGTTTCAAACGGAAACATGGAAGTTGGAAACTAAAAGTAAATTTCTACTCCGAGTGTGCTCAGCAAGACGTCACAAACAACACACAAAACAAATAGCAAGCGAACTTGAAAATAACTTCACGAACTCTTGATGTTCTAAGGCGTTTCTTTTGACACGTTTAGGGACCTAAGTTCAGTCTCTGAAATAATCTTAAACAGCTATGGAACAAAAACTAACATTGGAAAGGGATGAAGAAAAAGTGGCAGTGCTTTTGAGTGGCGTTAAGTTTACGATTTAATTTAAAAATTCGTATAAAATCTTCTATCGTCATTTTTACTTTGCACAGTATAAATGAAGAAGAAATCAAGATGAAACGTCTCTCTGATTTGTAATGTAGATCATTATGCCAATCTTTCTACTTTTATCATCTTCCTCAATGCATTTCAAAATGAAAAAAAGAAAAACAACAAACTAATACATAGAAGATACCATGGGAGATAGCGGTTGCCAAAACGAGAATACACGAATATGTTATCTGTACTTACTTATTCCATATCATGTCTCCTGCAACTAAAGGCATTTCCATTAGCAAGGCGGAAAGCAAAGAAGATTTTCCACTTCCACTTTTGCCCACAATCATTGTCAATTTACCTTTAGGCACCATCATCTCATCTATGTATAACACATTTTCAATTTTCTCAAGATTCCATGAAAATTTACAATCCTGGACAGAGACTGCTACGTTCTCGGGCATTTTAAGCAATAGCGAATCCCTGTGCCAAGAGTCCGTTTGCTTATGACCACTTGAAGGTAAAGTTTTCTCTTTACTGCCAGCTACAGTAATTACAGCATGTAATTTTTTAGGTCTTATAACCACATACGGAGTATTTCGAAGCAATTCTTTACGTACACGTATGCTGGTTATACGTTTATGATCAACATCGTAGAAAAATTCTTTTGGCCCATGGGCTGAGCTCAATGGAGTTTGAGGCTCCGAATTCGCTAATGGAGCGGGTTTTTCTGGTATATTAAAATTAATTCTTTGTTTTTCTATTGTTACTGCAGAACCGGAAGGCTGGGTTATTAAACAATTCGTTGGTAAGGAACTGGATTTGCCATGCATTTCATACACATCCAATGAGGCATCACTTTTACTTAAAATTCGAGCCATATTACGGATACCTTCAAATTGTTTTTCAATTTCGGTCGCGGCCAAAAAGCGTTCCAAACGTTTCGTTGAAACCATAGCCGATAACGCAATAGGCACCGTGACGGGGAAAATTAATAAAGGAACCGTGAGTTGCTGGAATAAAGCTAAAGCCGAAAACAACCGGCTGGCGGTAAAGCCTTGACGACCACCCAAATTATCTGATGGTTCGAAGTACACATACACCGACAGTGTAATAAACACAATCAATACGGTGCAAGTGTGCGTTAAAATTGCTAAAGAAACAAAAAAAATTTAATAATTATTATTTAAATGGATAATTAAATATAAATATATAATAAAATGCATTCACTTACTCAATAAAGTCCAATACAATGAGTCTCTGTTTAAATAAATTAATTCCTTGTTACGTGCCTCGGTTATAGTTTTAATGAAGATCTTATCCCAGGCATTCAGTTTTATCAATTTTATGCCCAAGAAAGTGTCGTACAATCTTTTCAAGCGATAATCGGTACATTTCTAGGAAGAGTAGAAAACGCCAGCGAATTTAAGCCTTGAATTTAATTAAAACTCTTTACGCAAAACTATTCTATAATAAAAACTAAAATTGTTTCAAAAATGAGATTAAACAAAGGAAAGAAGATGAAACGTAACTGCAACATAACTTTAAGTCAAATAGAAGAGTGAGGCAGAGAGAGAGAGAGAGAGAGAGAGAGAGAGAGAATTGTATTTGCTTTGGGGAAAATATTGCGTAACTAGGTCTAATAATAATGCCTTTTGCAAAGAAGAGATATATTTTGTTTTATCTTTAAAATAAAATGGATTCGTATAGAAATTTCATTTTCATCATTATCTACTTACCGCCATAATTTCCATGTTCTTAGACATTGCTTTACCTATTAAAAATTGCAATGGTGTTATGGTCAGTATGCAGGCAAACGATCCAATTAATGCACTAATACCCAATTTCAAGTACAATAAATACATGACGACAGCAATCTACAAAAAAGGGAGTGAAAATGCAAAAAGTTCATATCTGATAAAACTCTTCAACAATGTTATCAGAAGATAATGAAATCGAAATTGAAAAACTCTTCTACAATGCATTTGCATCGTGCACAACCAAACATATAATTCTTATGAAATTCTAAAAATCCTCTTAGAAGTCTATATACTTGTAGGATTGTTTTATTGTTTTATTTTTCTTAAGATGAAACATTGAAATTATTAATTAAGTGATAATAAAGTTGCAAAAATAGTATGAAAGAAGCAACTAACCTTTCATTCTATGATCATAAAAACGAATGAAATTTTTAAATCAATGCATCTGTGTAGTAATACACATACAACAGCAGGCTCATACTGCATGTATAAAATTTTAATTCGGATTTTTTCACTTATTTGATTTTACGTACACAGATATCTACCATATATTATAGTATAAGTAAGTTGTGAGTACGGAAATTTTATTTTTTCTATTATTATTATTATTATAACTAATTTAGCCAGATTGGTAAGCAAAGACTAGTATCTGAGGCTGAAAACTCTATTGCACTTAAGATTTCAATCCACGATCATTGAGTTGTTAGTCGAGATCCTTAGCCTACTCTGACACGCGGGCGGATACGTATGAAATATGTTTTTAAACCTAGCACAGCATCGAAAAGATTGAACGAGTTTTATGAAGTTTACAAGCTTCCTGCTGGGGGATTTATTGCTACACTAACCAGCTGTTTGACAAGTATCAGTAATTCCGTTATCTAGTCTGGAAAACCTATTGACAAACTAACAACCCTTTGCGTGGTTGCAAGAATTGAGTGCGTCTCCCTGTTTTAGAAAAACCTTTAGGTTCGCCATATGCCATTCCCATTATGCTATTTTTCACACAAAATCTAATATAAATTCTTCAATCACTAACACTTGCATCTGTCAGGAACAAAAACTGAAAATGCAAAATGACTGATAATGTCGCCCACGAAATGTAAAAAGTCATCTTCTTTTCTTTTGAGCACACCAGCGTATTGTAACAAAGTCCTCCAAGAAGCATTAAAAGCGCTCAACTAACTATTTTCAATACATTTTACTATTTATTTATTTATGCGTTGCTTCTTCTTTAAAAATATTTTTAAATTTGTTTATTTTCAATGATAGTTTCATACATACATTTTTAATCCTTTTTCAATTACGTATTATTGCATCGATCTCAATTTATTTTCAAAAATTTGTTGCAAAAGTTTTTTTTGTTTTCTTTACATTATAAATTTATATTTGTCTGTGCAAAAGTCGTTACTCACTTTTAATGGTATTGCCCATACGTAATGTGCTATCCAAAAGAATGACATTATATTTAATGTATCCTCGGACATTAGGTTTGTAATGGCACCAACATCGTTTACAGCTTAACAGCCAAAACATATTTGATGTTGCAATATGTTGAAAGCAGGACCGAAAGGGGAATATATAAATAAAACGAAATAAATAAATTTATAAATATGAATTTCCAATATGTGCATGCAGTTTATTAAAATATTCGAATTTATTAAAATATTCGAGTTTATTAACTATTCGCGGGAAGTACGCCATTTTCTAATTGAGGCAAAATGTTTTTCTTCTCCAAATCAACAGAATATCGTTTTTTCAATTTCGAATTCGTTGCACAGTATCGTATCATTCATTCAATTTATTCAATATTTGTTAGCGCACTTTCGAAGGGTTACAAAAATTTTAAAATTTCTCTGTCTGTCTGATTACTATGTAGTATCTGTCAGCTCTCCTCGGCTCCTCTCTTTGCTCAAACTCTCAAAAATTGATTACTTTAACCTCATTAAAATTCGAACTCAATATACTCTAAAAACATGTGAACATGTGAACAAATGACATCTAAACAAAGCATACGACTTACCACCATCAGCCTTAACCTTACTATTATCGGTACCTTTGCTCCCTATACTGCAATCATCAGCTTTGTCTGTTGCTTTTGTTGTTGTTGTTGTTGTTGTTGTTGAAACGTTCATTTTCAGCTGCTTATTGTCTTTCGATAATTTACACATGACATTGTCATGGTTGCATTTAAGACTATTTCGACCGGATGCTGTTTCTCTCGTTATGCATGCTGCCCAAGCATTAATTGAAGTGTTGGCATTGTTGATGCATTCGGAATTTAACAGTAACGTTTTACGGTATATTAAACCTTGTAGCGATGTCTTAATGTACAAACCAGTCATATTCAGTATATGGGTAGATGCTTGCGATAATGCACCCTGGGCTAAAGCGGCGAGTAAGACAATCCAGGCAATTGCCCATCCATTCGTCAGCAAATCTAGCCATGTAGCGTGGAAAAATTTTATTTCAGTAGCCATAGCAATCGGTCGACTGTTGTTACTAATGTCGTTATCAGAATTATAATGAATGACGTTCAACAATTGATTATATATTTGAGTAAAGTTGCTGTTACTTGCGTTAACACTATCCATGCTAAAGTTGTTGCTCATTGTTGCTGCATTAATGTACAAATTTAACATAGGTTCAACAGTTGAATTTGTACCGATTATATGATTGCTATCATTATCTGTACTAGCATTGAACCATTCTTTAACATTATTTAAAGCAAATAATGGTTTCTCTGCAGTAATTGATACCTTACCAGGGCCACTAGTGCCATTATTCATTTGTCTTTGCAAAGCGTTGAGATGCAAGTCATACATCACCTCAATATATTGAACAATTTGTTGTATTGCCAATGGGCCAATTATCGAAAATAAATCTCCAAAAAGCTTGAGTAGTCCGCCTAGCATGAATGTACGCCAACTGCTCTTTAAATAACACGACCACAATGAAGGCGTCTTATCGTCATTTTTCTTTAAAACAAGCGACCGGAAAAATAAAAGAAATTTTCATTTTGAGTACTTGAGGTACACAATGCTAAGCGTAGCATAGGTTAGTAAACTTTACACCATCCATGTAGCCTTACTTGCTTTTGGGTCTTTTCGTTTTGTGAAGTCACAAAATCAGAGATAAAAGTGTTTTCTCTATATATTTTAGACCCATTTTAGTCGATAGCCTTTGCAATCTTCTTGACGAAACAATCATACCATAACTACCGAAATTCTGGAATTTTTGGGCAAAAAACAAAATGACATCATCAAGCCGTTAAGAGGACTCGGCAGAGCGATACAAATGGTAGCCGCACGGACAAGATCGGAGCTACTTGGTGTGGTTGTATGGAAATTCACAATCGAGTTTTCTAAATTTTTCTTGTACTATGAAAAACCTATGTAGGTGTGGCAAATATCGTGAAAAAGGAAGCGCTTTTTTTACTGATCAACTTTAGAACCTTTACCTCAATTGCGCGCTTGAATCGCATTAGCTATTGACAACCAATCCGATCAAGTTTTTGTACGTAACCCATTTTTTTCTTCCATTATAGGTCTCTTAGAATTTGAGCCGATTTGCTTTCAAGTCGCGGACGAAACTTCGGTCTAATGCACTTTTTCGCTTTTAATTCATATTGCGCCCAACAAATGATCCCAAACCGTCTTTTGATCAATGATTAGTCCCGCAGTCATATAACAAAATGAAATGGAAAATGACTTCACTTAACTGAGTCAATCAATTGACGGTAGAAAATAAAATTTCGCTACAATTCTCATTTGAAAGCTTTGCTGGTACCCACACAAGGTATTGTTATGCAAGAAAGAGGCCGATGTAATTCGTGATATCGATTTCGATTTATTATAAATTTTACGTACCACCTTCGCGGTTTTATACGTTAACAAGAAAAGATCATAATGTGCACGAGCACTGTCCTCTACTCGCATTTGTCCCAAATGCTCCAGCTCTAAAGGCTTCTTAGAACCCCGCCACAGTAACGGCATTAGCCACCAAAAGAAAGCTTTTGAATAAAATGTTGCTAAAGTGTGCTTATAGCCGATGCGTTCGTAATCTTCGCAATAATCGGAACGATAGCGCTGAAAATAAAATCAAATCAAAATAAATGTGCTTTTATTTCTTATGTTTACTTAAAAAATATTTATTTTAAAAGAAAAAAAAATACCCTTTTTATACCCACCACAGAAGGACAACGATGTACTATACATATATTCCAAGGTGCACATATATGCCAAGCCATGTCTCTCCGTCTATAAGTCTGTGTAACGTGTATTTTTTATACTCTCCTGGTCGAAGGAAAGGAGCATTTCGACTTCAAATTTGATAGAAATACTGAAAGTTATTTCGCGCATGTTGGTATACGAAATACAAACCCGCATTGTAAACTGAACGCAACTCCGCGGAATAATTTTTTCTTAATAATACCGTCGATATGGATTTCAAATAAAAGGACTTAAAGAGTAGAATGCGACAAGCTAGAAGTTAACTTTACATTAATTGTGGTGAACCGCACAACGCGGCGGTTAAATTTTTTCTTAGAAATACCATCCATGTGGGTGTCAAATATAAGGGCTTGGAGAATAGAATGCGAAAAGCTCAATGTGTTAATTCCAAATTAATTACGATGGACGGCAGGACGTGGTAGATTAAATTTTGTTAAAAATACTTTTTAGTGAAGTAAAAGGTGGAAGATAAATTTTATCCCAATCACTTTTTTAAATTTCTTACTTGTTCTGTATATCTGTATATCAAGCAGTTAAGTTTTTGAGATGCCAACAATCTCAAGTTGATCTCAATATTGAAAGCTAACCTTCTCTAGCAATATCTGCAGACGAAAACAATCAAACGTTGTACTGCTAACGTCTAAAATTGATCAAGTATTGAAAATTGAGTTAAAGAAAAAGTTCCCGACTATTTGTCTAAAACATATTTGAAATGTTGCGTAACTCTGGCAAGGCAAAAGTAGGGTGTTGCTCATCATCGCTCTTGAAATTTCATTGTTATAGAAACGACGCCCTCCCTCGCTGAGAGTCTTCAAAAACATTGACATATATCGGCACATTTCAGTTGGCAACATCGCATGGGATCTAAGCATTGCTAACAAAGTCAACTTTGAAACATTTGCAGAAGACTGAATGCCGAAAAGAGTCTTGATAGTGAAAAACTGCAAACGGCCGAATTTTGATCTGCGCTATTGAAGCAAAACAAAATTTAGTTGTTTTTAAAAAAATTAACACCGGACGATGAAAAGTTGATTGTATACAACAATAGTGTGCGAAAAAATCGTAATTCAAAAATGGATGAAGTTGGGCCAACAGTTACAAAGTCCGTGCTGAGTTCACCTAAAACAATACTTGAAATTGGAAAAGCATCACATAGAGTGAGTCGGTTTAACCTCGAAACACGATTCGTCCCAATTCCTACTCTAAGCAACTAATGCGATTAAAGAGCGCAATTGAGGCAAAGCGTGCAGATCTTATTAACAAGAACAGAGCGTGATAACCAGACCATCATATCTTTAATGGAATACAAAATTGTACGAAATTCTGTTTAAGCCAACATATAGTCCAAACCTTCGCCCATCCTTTTGCCACTTCGTTCATTATCTGCGAATGTTTATTAACAGTGTAAATCTGGTTGTAAAAGAGTAAAAATCACTTGGATCAGTCGTCTAGAAATTTCAGAAATTGTAGAGCAATTACATAATATTTTTACCACAAAAACGGCAAAAGGTTATAAATTTTAATAAAAAATCGCTACGGACTTTGATTTACCAAATATAATATTGTCAGACTCACTTGGCATTAGGAACCTATCTAGTGCTTCCTTAATGTAATTGAGTTTCCAAACAGTTTGTTATTCTTATAACTTATGTAAATTTGAAAATCATCTTTTCCTCTCCGAACACTTTTGTTTGCCTACCTTGGAGTGTATTGCGTGAGGCGTATTGATTTGATAATACCCAGAGGAATGCAAGGGAGAACTCATTTCAAAACAAAATAAGATTGAAACTTGTAATGCTACCGAGAGACAAATACGCGCTTACGACTTGTAAAAAAACTTTGCAATTTTAATACTTTGTCTATAATTAACTGAGTGTTTATGTTCATTTTTCTTTTTAGTTATCGCTACAGTTTCCATCCTGAAATTCGTCATTACGATTGTAAAATTCGCATCAAATATTTATCTTATAAAGTGTTCGTATTACGTGCACGACTACATCAGAAAATTGTATGGCAAGGACCACTTTAGCTAATCCCCTAATGTCCCTTGCAAGCAAACCGCCTCATCACCGAGAACAGAGGTAAAACTAAAACTAAAAACGGTATAATTATGTATACGTGTTATGAAAAGAATAACACAAGCAACAAACAACAAAACATGTAAATTTCACTGCCAACGTAGCGGAAAAAACTCAATAGCTAAGTATTTTTCCGCTGCTTAACTTAAATGTAAAGCTCATTCGGACTCATTTATTATTCCAAGTGCTCAACTTAATGCAAAGCGGGAAATTTTAAAATTTCATACAAATGCATCGCTCTACAATACATTTTTACCTAGACATTGCATTTTTGCGCGGTTGCAATTTGCTTTTGATAATAGAGAAAGAGAGGCCCATAGCCAAGAGTTAATATTAAATCCTAGAGGCTCTCTGCAAGACAGAAATTAAAATTTCATAAAAAACTGGCAAAAAAAAAAAATGTTTATATTTTTTTTCTTCATTATTTTCGTTTACTGGAAATAACCGAATAATACATAAGCATACCATTCATAATAAAGAAAGAAATTCATTAAAAAGGCTGATGCAAGTTGCAGTCGAACTACCTTCGCAAGCCATTAAATAATCGAATTTAGGGAAAAATAGTAATTTAAATAACAAACTTAAAAGCGACATTATCTAGAAGAAGCATTTCAAATCCCGAACAACATCAGCTCGAGAAAGAACAACGCCATGGAATTACATACATAGAAGTCGTATGCGTTCGTTTCCGTTTGTTAATAGCATGCAATAAAGGTAAACAATTAAAGCAAACATTTTAAAGTTTTTAGTATATTTTTAGGATTATTTCAATTTCTCACGGCTCACGTCAATTTTGGCAAGTTAGCATGCGATAAAGGTAAGCAATTAAAGCAAACGTTTGAAAGTTTTTAGTATACTTTTAGGGATATTTCCGTTTCTCACATCTCACGTCAATTTTTACAAGTTTTCACTTTCATTGCCGTTTTAAGGAATGCTCTAGAGTTGCAAGGCATTAATTAAGACAACCTATACTTGTAGAATTTCCTGTAAAATTAATATCAAATGATTGGCCCACTCAAGCTAAATGGCGTGCCCATAAAATTCATCCCAAAACTAATGAAGATTTTGTATTTATTTCTTTTTATGCAAAACAAAAACGGAAGCTAATATTGTTTTTGGAATTTTTTATTTTTGCCTACAAATTTATTCTTAACTGCAGTAGTGCTGTTCGCAGATGTATTCCACTTGTTCTTCTCAAGTGTTTATATATTAATTGAGGTTAAGCAGTACTTTGGCGGTTTATCGTAAAGCAGTAGAAAGGAAACTAAAAATATTCGCTTAATACCTACCTATACCTAAAAAACGTGGCAAAGGTATAATACGCAAAAAAAGCATACACACACGCACACACACACAAACTACTGCATATCCATATGTCAAGATAATAGCGTTGTTCTCACGTTATAATTTGCTATTCATCGACAGCACTTTAATAACACAACACGGTATACCAAAATATGGGCGAAAAGCACACACAGTTACATGCATAAATAATAAACCAAATCCCAGTCCTCGAGCAAATCGCATCCTTCTGTTTTATCATTTTTGCTTTATTTCTGCTTGAGTATCTATATCTCATCCGTATCTTGTATCGCACATAAATCTCTGTTGTGCATAGTTGTTAAAGGGAGATGGAGAAAAAGGGATTTAGCTTGAATCGTAATTGTCGTTGTTTATTTATGGAAGCGATTTTGTTTTCGAAGCTGCTTTTCTTACACTATTACATAAACCAATCTCACACAAAACGGAGTAAGCGAAGTAACTCATAATAAGCCAAACGAATAAAGTACCACATGTTCCTGTAAATATCAACAAAATACGAATAAACGAAAAATTTAAAAGAATGAAAGAAAGGCAAACGTTCACTTCTCAAGGTGGGTTTGAGTTTTCGTCACGTTTGGTAGCGAATATTACTTCGGATTCGTGATTTCTGTTCACCTAAAGGTAAAATACCTAAGGGATTTAACAATTTCTTTACGTAACTCAAGTAAGCTTTGATATAAAGATGTCGATTCCAAGTTTCTAAGTTATAGGTGAGCATTTCCTGCTTTGCGCTGAATGTTTTCCATTTTTTAACATGATCAGTCACTCAGCGGAGGATATCTCCTATTCGTCTAACATAGTCAGAAGGAAGGAGCGAAAGAAAAAGATATGGGGTTGGTGACGAGCGTAACCTGAGCGTGAGCGTGGGCGTGTGCCCAATGGACAAGTACTACCTGCCTTTACCGACTGAGCACTCGTCATATCGTCATATAAAAAATTCCTAGGCCCCATTTTATTTGTAATACTAAAGAAATTACGTAAGCTTGGCAATTGATTTAGCCATGCTCTATAGTCCGTCCGTGCCTACGTTTGTTTAATGACTATAAATCAATTGTGATAAAAGGGTATTAAGTTTGTGCTGTGGCCAGAGTTGATTGAGTTAGACCTTTCCATTGAAAATAATTTTCCGAATCAATCCAAGCCTATCTCTTCATCCCACACACTAAAATTTAGTTTCAAACCCAATTGAAAATGAATTGAATGGAAAAATTTGAACGGCCAGTACCCATAGAACATCCTATTTTAAAAAAGCAGTTTTATGAATAAAAAGAAACCTCTTTGCCATAGGTAAGGTCTAGTTTTTAGCATTTTATGATAAAAATTGATGCACATACAGAATAGTGATAATGATCCGCAAGCAGAATGATGCTGAAAGTGGGTGAAAGAGAAGCATTAAGAAAAAAAGTATCGAGATTTCATTTGTTTTTCTTTTTGCATCTCTTTTCAGCAGAAAGACGGTATAAACGACTCGACCGCAGTCAAATATAATTTTCTTGCGTCTTTTTTTTATTGATTTTCTGGCATTTGTCAAAAGAAACCATTATCTGCTTATTTCTTATTAGTTATTCTTATTTAGTTTCCTAATAAAGCTAATGCAAGTTTACATCTGTCAGGTATGCAATTGATAAATACATAGATGTTTATTAATTAAATTTTTTTAAATAAAATTTATAAATTTAACATTAGTGTTATACCTTTATGCAATTTTGTTTCTCCTTTAATCAAACGTTGTAAAGCACTCACCTCTTTATAGACAGTAAAGCCATCGATAAATCCAATACTCAATACACAGAGAGCAGAAAATGTTTGTAGAGAGGATTCCAATTCCCAAACGGATTCGTAGCAAATAATTTCAACCAATTCGTAAATGCGTAAAATAAATATTAATGTAGACATCGTGCAGCTAACGTACAAAAATTCTGAAAATTAAAAAAACATTTATGCAAAGTTTAGCTGTTTTCACGATTACTTTCACTTACCCACTGACTTTTTCAACTCAACAACCCGATGATACCACATTAACATAAGCGTTAAGCTTATGGCTGCCCAGGCATTTGCCAGCGTCGTTTTACCAATCACAATGGTAATATGATCCGTGCGTTTATTTGCTTCCAACCGTTGAAATTCGGGATAAGACGAATTATTATCGCTATTAACCGATGAAGTAATATTTACATTATCCGGTTCAACGATAATTAGGGCACGTATTAATTCTATCGAATTAATAGCCAATAAAATGATAGCCACAGCAGCTCGCACATTATGAAATGTTAACAATGACTTATGACACCTACCAGTTAAAAGAATGTGATATACAAAATATTATTATTACCAGCTGTTATTATAATTAATTTCGTCAAAGGAATAATTTCAAAAATTAAAGTCTTATAGCACCACCATCTGAGACTGTCGACTACATTAAAAGATCAGTATAGCACTTGATAAACCCAAAAAAAAGGAACACAGGAACACGGAATAATGAAAAGTTTTTTTTTTTTTTGTTGATTAAAAAGTTGTAGTCGATAACTGAATAGACTACACCATTTGCCTAATGCAATACTCCACTTAGTTTTGTCATAAACTAACAAAAACTAGATTCTGTTGTTCTACATAAAAGCTTACTTTCATAGGGAAAGTTGCGAAGGACGGGTCGAACAACAAATTTATATATCAAATCATTACTTTGAGAACCCAGCTCATCTGATAAACTTAATACACCTTTTCCACAAATTATGTATGATGGATTATGTAAAACTAAATTTGAGTAATATTTCGCGGTTAGAAACAAAAAATTCCCTAATTTTTAATTAGTCCTTAGCATAAGCAGAAGCGATGTAGGGAACAACATTCACGCCACTCTATTTAACAATGGTAAGAAGCTGTTATACACGAAGGAGATTATTTGCCCAACGCGAAAACGCTCTAAAAATATCTATATATATTAAAAGATGTGTACAATTTTTGTAATTTTTGTAAATAAAACAAATATTAATTAAATTCTCTCTTGCGTTATATTAAAAACTATTTGTTCTCTAAGTGATGATGACCACAACATACGAGACCTTTTTAATGTATTGGAAGTGTTAAGAGCAATTCCTACATGCATTGAAGTTCGCAGATAATTACACCTACAAAACAGTCGGTTCATCACCTCAAAATGGAAGCCTCAGAGCGAAACATCCTTTTGCGACGGCGTCCAAAAATTCACTAATCTTCTTGCCAGATCGTCGTATACGCCTCGCTTAGTAAATTACCTGAACTAATTTTCTTCTAGTCTAACACAGACATTGTGGATCCCAAGCAATACATGACTTTGAGCAATCCCAAGGACATGTTGACAATTATTTCCTACACTTTTGTCCTCATGAGAGGAAGAGTGCAATTACCAATTGCTGGCAAAGCCGTTTGCACTTTTGCCATCTTCACCGAGGACCAAGACACAAAAGGTTTATTTGTTTTTTTTTTAGACCACGAGTTAATTTCTTTTAGGTATCTTTCTGTCCTACAGCACTAGTGCTACGGGACATATTAATTTTGTACAAATGCAAGTAACATTTAGGGGGAATTAAAGCCGGTGCTTGCGGATGAATTCAAAAACTTTTCGTAAATGGATTTAAACTGCCTGTCGACCAGCGCCACTGAGGTTCGTCCATCTATTTCGGAATTCCGCCTATAGATCGCTCTTTCTGAGATTTTGACCAAATTTGTTGCACTCGCGTAGTTTAATCCATGGACTAATCTGGTTGAAAATTAATTACATTGTGCATCACTCCCTATCTAAAGCCTTATTTTGGGCGGGTCACTAAATAGATTTGGGCCCATATGCCTATGCTCCTACGAGAAATAAGCCCTTTTATAACAAAAATTTCTAGTTTTTAATACTTCAAGGTGACGTCCGTACAAGAAGTCTTATGAAAAGTACGATTCTATATAGCAAGGAAGTGTAATTTTTAGTACTATGTGAACAAAATAGGGGCACAATATTGATAAAAAGATTTTTGATAAGAAAATGCTAAATTTGGACCAAGTCAGTTCTCATTCTGTGCGCTTCCTCTCAACTAAGGGTTCCTATGAAAGGTTAACCTTTATGTGGAGACAAGATGTAATTTTTTAAAAATTTATCGCAAAAATTAGACGAAACGGTGTAGGTATGTTTAATTGTCGTCTTTGTTCGGCTCCGCTGTTACTATTTGTTTTTATTAATTTATTTCATTTTAGTTTCGTTTTGTTCTTATTATTGATTTTTATATATATGGGAGTTTTTGTTTCGAGGAGCGAAGATATTGTGAGAGACTCATTGTCGCTTTATGTTTTGCGGTCAGTCTTAGGAAGCAATACTCATTCAGAGAGAATCGCACACATTCTTTTCAAACTCTCAATTGATAAAATATAAGTTTATTTAAGACACTAATTTCCGATGAACAGCAGTGCAATGTGAGCTTGTGTCTGCCAATAAGTAGGCGATGCTGTCTATGTATGTGAGAATACATTTCCTTTTCAAACCATCAATTGAGATTTTCCTTTTTAATTGAAACGAGACAATTATGGTAAAACGTTTAAACAAGTCAACGGAAATATCGAATGCACACATAGTATTATAGACGAGGTCGACTTGCAGATACCTGTCATCTAGATCCGTCTCCTATAATCCTTAAACAAGCAGAACTTGTTAGCTCACGCTTTGTTAAACAACACAGAGCGCATCCCTTTGACGACATACTGTGTGGAATAAAATTTTGTTTTTTATATCGTTGGCTTAACCCTAAACTGAATTCTTATATGTTTAATACATCTTTCCATCTTTTCATGAAAAGGAGGTAAAAATAGTATGCAATGCCAAGACATTCAACAAGAGTATGCAGTCAAATTTATGAATAGCCATTAGTTGATTAAGTTTCCATTTACGTTGCGGTCCATTATTAATAAAAGGAAAATGATTTTAATTTTTGTCTCTTTTATGCCGTCTTTCAAGCCACGATATCAGCATGAGAAAAATTTCCATTGTTCAGTAGTGCGCAGTTATTTCCTTGAAGCTTATAAAGCGGAAACCCACGATTTGTACGGCCTTTATAATAAGCAAGAATTAAAAGCCACAATACGGTTTCGAATGAATATTAATTCTGTTAAAATTCATTTAAAAAAAACCAATGAACTAAGAGAATGCATGGATTGTCATTGCAAGGATAATCAATTCATTTATTCGTATACATTAAATTCGGCTGCAATAGCTATTCCGTTGAATTCGATAAACTGTTGGCTATAGGCTTAGCGGGAGGAAAATGGTATTGAAACTAAAAAATCTGTAAGTAACTAAATAGACGAAAAAACCACAAAAATATATAGCGGGGTGTGGACAAAATAATGTAAGCGTTATATGATAGAGTACCATCTTCTTGCTGCTAAATGATGCGGTGCGTATATGTATACGTGCCAAGCCTCGTAGGCACTCATTGTACACTTTGTGCTTGGGAAGGGTGAAACGCTTAATTTCTCAGACTTCGCTGGTGCTCGGTTAGCAAGAGCGCCTGCGGCAAAATGAGTTGAAGTGTTCAATGTTTCACGAGCGGCAGTATCCACGACAACGACAGCAAACACAAAACGTGGTAAAATATCACATATGAGAAGGAAACTGAATTTGCTTGGGAGTTGATCAGAAGATCGCCCTTTAGTATATAGATGGATTGTAAAGTGACATTAACGACTAAAAGCGTTACTTTAAATGCGACATCGGCAATGCGCTACCACTGAAGAGACTCATAACATATCAACTTTGCTGACAAGGAAATACTTTTAATCCATGCGCTTCTCCAGTCACAATAAGGCTATAAACCATAGCCTATTTCCATATGGGGTAGATATAAGTTTAAGTGAGTCCCAAAAGTCCCGACCTAGATCCCTTAGTGCAAAACGCTAATATTGCATCTACAAAAATGCAACATCGCAGACAAAGCAATGTAAAACGTGCTCCAGTGGAGACCTTACGGATCAAGCATTATTTTTGTGCTCATCACCGAAGGACGAGGGATATATTCATTTTGCGAAAACGTTTGCAACGCCCAGAAGAAAGTTTCGCAGACCCCATAAGGTATTCATATTCTTGATCAGCATCAAATTCGGAATCGTCCGTCCGTCTGTCCGACTGTGTAATGTCTATTTTAAGCATTTTCCTGGCCGCAAAAATCAAGCAATCGAGTCGGCTGACGACTTCGCCATTTTGTACTCTTTGGAAACTGTATATGTGATGATGTTAACTAAAACAAAATGTAAAAAACTCCCGATTTCAAGATGACAACTAAATACTTCAGTGATTCATAGAAGCTGAGACATTTTGAATACTCCCTCGCTATAAATATTCTTTTCGCTAATTGTTTTTGCTTCAATTTACATGTGAAACTCTTTTTGAATAATGTTAAATGTGGAATATATTTCGTTCGGTGGTAACCGAATCTCTTATACCCGTTACACCGTTATACTAAACAGACAAAATATGTGAAAAATCTAATTTTTCATATTCCGTAATATGCAGCGGACGCGATAGATTTTTTTCGATTTTCAAAACAAAAATTTTTGTCGAACTGTCGCGTGTGGGCGTTACAGACGCGTTCTTGGAGAAATTCTTTTGCAAATTTGTTGACGATGTCCTCATTTTCGCTAGCGAGAGAACGTTTACCACAAACACTACACAGTTGCGCAGATAGACAGGATGATCAGACGAATGGACAGACTTTTGTACACTTATCTGCTACATTTTATTAATAATGAGCAAAAACCAACTTTATATTCCTTTCGAAAGAGAGAGGTGCACTCAGTTTACGTTTCTGCTGTGGACGTGTCCTTCGACCGGTTTGGTACATTTTCAATTCCAACCTGTATGCAAGAACTTCCAAAGTGTCTGCCAAATTCGAGGTCGATAACTTCATTTTTTCGGCCGCAGAGTGTTTACAACGAGCATTACACAGTCAGACGGACATGCTTTAATTTACAATCTGATGCCGTCATCGTTCGATGATGGATATAAAAATATAATTCACTACAATATTCATTCTTTTATTTAAATTTGAGTTTGAGTTGAAAAAATCGCTATTTTTTTTATTAACTTTGTGTTAATCTTAGAAGTTTTTAATCTACCGTGTGTACATACATATTGTGTTATATATTGCAGTAATGAACGTTCAAGTTTTGATACTTAATTATCAGTTGGCAGGTGAATATATGAATATAAGGACATCTGTACATCTCTCGTTGTACAATTTTATCAATATGTTTACAGACCATTAAAAATCTACAAAATACAATGAATGCATTTTTTTGATTATTTTAAAAAATACTGAACAAAAAATTTTCCTTGCCTTGCCGATGAAAACAAATATAATAAAATCCATATTTTACATTCATTTTTCGATGGAGTCTGAAACATTTACAATTTACAAATATCAATTGTTTACCGTTTTTCACGACTAAAGACTAAAAAGTAATTAATAAAGTTTTTTTTTTTTTTTTTATTGTTTCAATTTTTTTCTCGTCTCAAAAGCGAAAGGAATTTCCTAAAATTGTATACAGGACAATGCAGCGCCTAGTGTCGCTTCTATGTGTACATGCTTGTATACATTTCATTGAACATTCATCGAATTTATTGTCTCGTTTCTCCCTCTCTGCAAAAAGTGTACGCTTACAGCGCGCACCATAGTGCTTACAATGCTATTCTTGCCCAGTCGTAGCAGTAGTAGTAGTAGTAAAAGTAGTAGTAGTAGTAGTAGCAACAGTACTGGTATCCAGTCAACCAAAAATTAACTCTCGCGTTGCAGCCGTTACAACAGTGAAATGATAGTTTTTACCGGAAAATAAGCAACGCTAATAAATATATATTTCTGTAGCACCACGAAATGCATGACATTTTTTTCGCATCATTTAATAATTCCAGTTGTTCTAGTACAGGGGAAAAATGTTGGAAAGGAAACGTTTTTAATATCTTTTTATTTTTCATTTTTTTTTTATTTTTTTTTTTTTATTTTCGCTTCTTTTGCGTCAGCTTACTATGCTAAGCTTTTTGCGCTACTTCCACGTTATACGTTATACGTGGCACTATTGTCATTGGCAGACAAAACTAATTATATATAAAACAATACGATATAAAATTGTATATATATATATATATATATATATATATATGTATTGTAAAGTTTATTTTTTATTGTACGCACAATATTAAGGAGAAAAACGAGCTGCATATAATAGGGAAAAAAATACATTTTATTGTGAGTTCTTTTAAGGTTACAATAAAGAATTGTAATTTTATTCAAAAATTAATCAAAATGATTGGTTTTTTCTACAATGCTTGAAATAATAAAGCTTTGCTTTTTACAGTGAAACGCGCTTAAGAATGGATGATTACAAAAAAAAAAAAAAAGTTGAACAATTAATTGGTTGTAGGATGTGATGACCAATTCAATATAACGATACAACGCAGACATTAAACAGACGCACAGGCAGACAGACTTGGCTTTATCTATTCACTATTTGCCGCTGACGCAATATATATATATATTTCTTCTGTCTGGGTGCTGCAATATTAACAGACCCGGATCCTTCGATCAGGGGCATCAAAATGTGGCAGAAGATATTTTTTTATAGGGGTACACGACTTCATTCATTTCATTTCAGGAAGGAATTTCTTTCTGGATGCTGCAATATTAACAGACCCAGATCCTTTGGTCGTGGGTATCAAAATGCAACAGAAGGTTAAATTAATTAGCGGCCTCTTGAAAAGCTACAACGCGTATACGATTTCTTTTCATTCCCGGAAGGATATTGATCGTCTTTGCATTACAACTTAAGCAAGGCAGAGTTGTATATATTACCCGAACCTCGTGTCTCTGTGCCTGAGATGCTTAAAATGAAAAATTTGTAAAGTTAAAAACAAATAAAAGTTCAACTCGTATTCCTCTCCCTTCGCAGATACGCGACCAAAAGATAACCACGTAAAACTAGGTGACTAGGAAAATACGGCCATAGATTTAAACAATCCACTTTACCTCCAATGGAATTCATGCATAACATATAGCGCAGAAGCTGCGTATTTCGTTAAGGTCTGTCCGAGCATTGAACTTTCGTCTTTCTCTCTGACGAGACCGGCAAGCAACCAGACATGTCAGCGGAGTAGACAAACCGTAATTAGAACAACAAACAATAAACGGCTGAATCTTAATTCGGGTGATTGATCCAAAACATAGGAAACAGCAATCCATAAAATACTTTCCGAAGAAAGTAATACGAAACGCGCGTCCATGCAAAGGCAAAAGATCGAAGTTAAAAGTGAAAAGAACACTTCTTGTATTTTTATTATATATACGGGGGTAAGTCTCACTCCAATCTTGTATTAAAACCTTTGGTTTGCAATATTTTAATTCTTCAAAGTGAAAGGTGAAGAGGTGTAAAAGGTAGTTAGTTAACAAAGAAAATAAGTCTACAAACGAGATTATAAGTAAAAGAAATTAATTAAAACGATAATGCAGAGAAATGGTTTCCCGCTCCACTTTGTTATGATAAATGCGAACATGTCGATATATAATTACAGGTAAACAATTAAAAACATTATAGTCAGGTTAGTTCACCCTTTATCACTTCGCTTAACACAATTCTTGATTTATTTGTGTGAGTAAATACCGAAAATTAGACGTTGTTTCCCTGTAAAGGTATGCTTTTATGGGGTAAGGGCAACGACATGAGCTGATGCATTACAAATTTAGCGAAATTAATTTTAAAATCTTATTCACCTACTTTCGTCACAAAGTACTAAGAAGTCTTCAAAGTAAGAAGAAGTCTTCAACATGCAAAGGCTTACTTTCTGTTGGGATGCTTACATCGGGAGGAGCTCAAATAATTGGCCTGTGCCATCCATATCTTTCACACCAATTTTGTGCACCTGCATATTAGTACTCAACGATTCTTTTCGAAAAAATTCATTTTTTTCACATACAGAATGTTCGAAAATAAAGCATTATTTAGAGAATAGCCGCCAAAATGGTCGATCCAATCAATTTTCCATAAGGTTCGTTTGCGCGCCAAAACTAGTCAGTTCAGCAAAATGTCTCAAAAATTTCAAGTCTCTAGGTTGAATAGAACAACCTACAGACAGGCAGATGGACAGAGAGATCAATACGCCGCAACAACTGTGCAACAGATCGCTCCCCATTCACGACAAGAACTCTCAAGAATAATAATAAGGATCCGCCTGGCAACAAGGTATAATTATACCCTGCACCGCTTATGATACAGTGTTTATTAAGTTAGTGAGGACGTATGTAACACGTAGAAGGGCATAAGATAGACCCATTTTTTATTATAACGATTAGCATGACAATCTGAATTGATCTAAACCTGTCTGTCCGTCTCATGTGTATCCAGGTAAATTTGTCTTCAAAATATAGGTCTACATTTTTGACATATTTTGGTGAAATTTGATACAGGACAAACGCTATTGAACGGTCTACTTCTTCGACCACTCCCCATATAATGACCTATATGAAAAGATATTGCAATTTTCAAAATTTCGCAGTAAAAGTGGCTAAGTAGCATTGGTATGAAAACTTTAGACTGGCTGGGGCAATTTTTTAAACCCCTCATGTAATGAAAACTAAAGTTCATGCGACAGAGAGTTATAATTTTCAATAATTGATGATAATAATTTAACATAAAAAAATTAACTGTACCAAAATTCGACCATCTCGACCTATTTTTTAGATCCTATCCTAATAACGATTTTCACGAAAATCAATCCTTTGTAGAGCAGAAAAGTCTAAATTTTACTCATACAAAATTAACTCTACAAAATTTGCACGATCCACGCCTATTTTTGGATCCTACCCAATGTGAGGACTACTAATGTGTACTACATTAGGTTGGGTTATTACGCACTTGAAATATATGCTTTTATATTGAAACAAGGTATCATTGTTCTGTTCTATAATAAAAACAAATAAGAAAGTTATATTCGGCGACGGCCGAATCTACTCCACTTACTCCACTACTATGTTTTTCGCATTCTCACTCTCCAAGTTCCTTTATTTGATAACCGCAATATCTTCATTTTTGCGACGAAGAGAGTGCCAACAACACGCACCACACGGACACATGGACGCAAGGACGGGTAGACATGGCTAATTGAACTCAGAATTTCACGCTGATCAAGGATAAAAACAAAATGGGTGTACCTCCAGCTTACAGTGGTGGGGATACAATAAGAACTGTATTAGACAATGTGGTGTAGGGTATTTAATGGCTGAATGGCTGAGAGTAGCTAGACGTATTTAAAACTTCAAATTTCATGACATCGTTTTAATATACGAAAAAATGCTATCTCTCTCTGTTTTGATTTATAAAACGAATGCAATTAATTACCCATAAGGCACAACAGTTTTTCGTTTCAGTTTACACGAATAGAAATAAACCGACTAAGAATCTCGTGATTCATCGTTCGTTCGCTGTAAAAAATCTTCCGATGTCGTAGGAAAAAGATGGCAAGTAATCAGCAAGCTTTGCAACTATGGTTGAAAATAGACCACGAGAAAGTCATAATCGATGTGTAGATGTATTCTCCATCTTTTATAAGTGACTGAATAATAATAATCTTCTTAGTAAACATATTCTCTCCACTTACTTACATTCTGAAACATTGCTTCATTGCAGAATCCTTTCAATAAGTTCTAGTATTGTTCGGACACCACGAGCGCCGCAACATGCACCGCCAAAATCCGTTTGGAAGTAACCGCATCATAACATGAGAGAGAGCGAGGCAGACAAATAGATGCACCGCAACGCACCTAAAGCGCCCCTATTATGTATTTCAATTCAGATACACAACCACGTACATAATTCAGCGCATTAATGCAGTTCGTAGTAAGTGAGCGCACAAACGCACCAACCTAAAGACTTTACCACGAACATGGTTACGTACGCATTTGCTTGCCATCAATGTAATGACTATTATCAGTGGCCCGTTTATATCCGTAAAGCTCAAATGATAAATGCATTGCATTAATGAAATAATATGAAATATGGGTGAATAAAATTGAAATTTTATGAATAGTAGAACACGTTTATCATACCTGACAGAGGCCTCATGTGCCGATTGCTTAGCAATTTTCTTTGCTCAAGCAAAAAATTGCATTTGCTTCATGGCGAATTTTTTTACATACACTCTAGCTCAAGCTACTAGGTAGGGTATGTAAAGTACCTCATCAATTGAAGGAATGGTATTTGTCCATTCGGAATAGCCTTACACTAAAGCTGGTTTATAGCCGCTGATAGTGAGCACGATACGAATTTTCGGGCAAAGTACAAAAACATGTTGGAAAATTTTCAAAATTTTCAAATCTCAATTTAAAGTATTTTACTGCAACGTAAAAAAATGCAGTTTTTCAACAAAATTAATTATATTACATTAATGTATGTATGAATGTTTTCAAAAAATTATTCAAATTTTGACATATTGCTAAGAGAAGAATAGGCGGACAGGTGTGTATCATTTTCGAAACTCATGCTAACGAAGAGGGTATTTGAAAATACATGACTAAATAGAAATTTAGAATTTACGAAATTTCCACTAGAATGGATTCATCCATTTTGTGGTACCGAATGCGAACACAAATAAAATACGCTCTTAATACAGATGTGGATCAAGTTATTATCTTCATGTATATTGTAGATCCTGTCATTATTTTTTGGAACACAACACATGCAGAGCTGTCGAGTGTACAGAAATGATTGAAACTTTTTGGGAAAATAATGAATTCACGATAAACTTCATTGCATGGGCAATGAAGTTCACATATTGTTCAATGACTTTGTAAATAAGAACTAGCGTGCATTTGATGTAAAGAAGTCGCATGTGATGTTCCTAAAGGACTTTTACTAACTGTGGAGTGTAGTTTTCGAGAAAGAAACGTTATCTTTAAGCATGAAAATGGCATTTACCCTCGACGCAAAACCCTACCGAAACGCAAGTACCGACATTTTTTGGCACAAAGTGGATAATGCCGTCTTGGACGATATGTGATCTTAACAAAGCAGTCACACATCTCTTGACACTCTCGATTTACTATGACAAACGTAAGTGAGTCGCGCAAGATCACGCTGTATATGTTTATTGAGCTTTTTAGTTTAGCTCTATGTAGGAGTATTGTCTTATCCAATATCCAACAAACTACGAACCCTCAGTGACTTTACTCATAGAGAGTATTCATGTTATTGGTGAAATAAGCGCAGATTTATGCGGAAAATTTGGCAGAAATAGTTGTCCCAAGATTGAATGTTTACACAAGTCCTGAATTAAAAACATCTTGATGTCTTCACTTATGTGATGAGTCTATATACCTAAGCCATCTCAAATTGCTGGAATTTACAGCAACATCGAAAATTTGCTACCAAAAAACATCTTAACGTTCATGTCGTAATGATTCGGTGGAAAAAGGACAATCCGATCGCATGCACGTTTGTACAGATAATTAAATCTCAAAATTCCGAATAATGTCGAAATTTATTCAAATTCAAGTAAGTGAACTATGCAATACATCCTTAAAAAAATTACCTAAGAAGGGCGACGACCTGAACTTGAAAATCGAAAACCCAAGAAAAAGACAGTAATTTACCGGTAATCCCTTGGCGAAACCTCGAAACATATCATTCGCTTCTTCGCATCCTTTCTTGACATTTAGCGGGATTATTGGGTCGCATGAAATATGATTACTTTTGAAATTTTAAATGCACTCGAATTTTGCTCATTATTTGCGGAAAGATTAAAAAGAATCGCACAAACATGCATCATATACGCGTTAAGCAGAATTTAATATCTGACGATAAATAACGACAAAATATCGAATATGTTATCATATCCGTAAGAGATATTGTAAAAGGTTGTTGTGGCCTGTTGCTCTCGTTCGCGCTATGACAAGAGAATATAGTTTACTTTTCTCAAAAAATGTCAACTCTCGAAGCTGTCAATGCTTACCTTTTCTTCCATTTCAACAAGATGTAAATGTTCACTGTCAACAAAATGATTGAAGCAAAAGCAGAAGCCTCCCATTTAACGGCATTAATGCTACAAATATTGATTCCGATTTGTTCGAGTAGAACGTCTCCATTCTCAGTATCACAAGAGATAGTATAAACCATTTTTTTTGTCTTTTTTTTTTTTTTTAATAATTTTCCAATTTACACTCGTCACCATCAACTTTTCCTATACACATAAGAATTTTTACTTATACAAACTTTTTTAGAAGCATTTATTTGACAAGTAAGTGACCTTGAATTTGCATATTTTCGAAATCTTTTGTTAGCAATTCAGGGCTTTTATGGAGAAATATTTGAAATTGTGAAGATTTTCGAACCGTACACGATCAACCGGCCGACGCAAAGATACACATATATCTGAGCTATAAGTTCGAGTAAGTAAAGAAAATCTCGAAATATAAAAAAATTTTCCACTTCACATATCAAGAGAACGTCTCTTCCATGTGGTGCGCTTTCATTCAAACAAAAATAACATAATAATAATAAATATGTTTACACAACGAATATTAGCATATTATCATGCAAAAAAAAAACGAAGTGTTCCGAACAGATCCGACTATCAACTGTTCAATATATATTAAATTTTTTTAGAATGATTGGTTTTCGGGTTTGCACGATGCTTTTTACGATTCATTAATTTATTCTCACAATAACGACTTCATCGGTATGCACACCAAAGCCTTGATGTGCATCCGAAATTGTTTCTATTAAAAGACATGGATTTACACAGCATCAATATTGGACAGGAACTTAAAAAGAAGTGGCGGTGTGTACAAAGTGAAACAATATTCGCGCGAAGATAAACAATTTAAAGATGCGACCAGAAACAATTGTTATTCAGCTCACGATTAAAAAAATTGCAAGAGCTTTTGAAAATTGCGAAAAAATGCAAGAAGAAGAAGATGCAAGAATACTATCAGATTAATGGCCAATAATTGGTTCAAGAAGACGTGCAATTGCAACCTATGCAAATATTCTTACATAAGACTTTCAATCTTATGAATGAATAAATTCGTATACCTGAATATTGGTAGCCAGCCGCCTGGAGCTGAACTGTATATCCCCGTCTTACTTGGCAACATCCTTTCGTTATTCATTAAGAAATAATAAGGTGATGTTATATAAGCAAAACGATCTAAAATTTGAAGAGGGAACGAAAGTAAAGGGATAGAAGAGGTAAGCAAAACACAAAGATCAGTTTACGAAAATAGAAAGACGTTAGATGACTTTCCAGGCTGAAAATAAATGAATGTCGCGCAAACAGCTCTTTAAATGTAGACCGCGATGAAATGGATCAACGCTGTTAACCTTGCTTTACATATTTATCTTTTTTGCTATTTTCTTCTCTGCAATTCCCTCAATTCTCAATTTTCTTCTACTAACTATTCCCAGCTTAAAAGAAGATAAGCAACATATTGTTGAATAATACGAAAACGCTACATGCAGAAGGGGCGGGAGAAGATTTGTCAATGCGTCACGCAAATCTTTAGGTGAAAGCATACTTCAAGTCTTTTAGAATCAGTTTGGACGAAAAACTTACCGTAATACGAAAATTTTGTTTGAATGCTATGCTTGATCACCGCAAAAAATGAGAACTGACTTATTACACCACCTTGACCTAGAATACATTTTAGAAAATCATTCAAATTAATTATCGTTTGCAGGCACTTTTAGCACAATATTCTTTGAAGCTATGAAAAGCTATATGGAAAAAAAAAGAAATTGGCCTGAGGTAGAAACTATCACAAAGCAAAGACAATTTGAGCACTTAAGGCTATCAAAGCAATCTTATTTTACATATCCCTATGTCTATGTCTCGACGTATGTAACGCTTGATATGCGTTAAATCAAAATTTCGAATTAGGTGAACTGCTAGTTCGAACGATGTACAAGAAGAGGAGAGGAGGATAAATGGTGTACCGAACAAACAGAAAAACTTTGGTCATCGTAAATAGAAACATTCGAGAAGCGAATCTCAAACGACGCAAATCAAGATCTTGGTGTATATGTGAAGAAATGCTTTGCATCATCATATGGACTTGTTTACAAAATAAATCATTTTAGAGCAAACATGTGTTTTAATTGGTGATGCATGCTTGCTTGTATTTGTTTGTTTACTTTACCTATAAGTTGAACGAATATCTTGCGATATTTATGTGGTCATAAGTATGTACGAGCAAGCACTCCTTAACCTTCAATAAAAATTCTTTTCCTGTTTCCTTTCTCCCATTAAGGTTTGTGTGCACATATTAGAAAAAGATAATTATTTTTGTGGTCTAAAAGACCGTACAATCAATGCTACCTTGTTAAGCGAATTGAGAAATAAACGACATATCAATGATGATCATAAGTACACAATATTTATTGTTATAATCTACACTACTTGTGGCAACAGGGTATACTAACTTTGTGCAGATGTATACAACTCCGCAAAGGACTTGGAGGATTAGAAGCGTCTATCTGTCTATCTTGTGTTCTTATGCTCACGTAGCGATTTTTCAGATAGTAAGCAAAGAGGTGTAAGGTGTAATTTAATGGTGCGTGGGGGGCTCTTTATAATGCTCTTACCTCTTCTCACTAATCCCTATATTAGTTGGAATGAATAATAAATATAATAATAATAACATACATATGTATATATATATATATATATATGTATATATCTGATCATAACCAAATTCCTGCCCTTGTATGGTCTTGTGTACGTCCGTATTTATATCTGTCTAATGATTCGTTAAATTTATTGAGAAATTCTTACCGTCCGATTTGTTGTTGTTGTTTGGTCTTGGTTTGTTCTTCCCAATAACCTGACGTATAGCCTTTGTATGCCTTATTAGTCCATATTTCATCTACTATCAATAAACTATGTATATGTATATGTAATGTAACTGAGTTATGATTCGACGTATTTTGGCAATAAAATAGAACTTATTGGGCCGAAGAGGGTATATAATAAACGAAATGAAAGAAAAAATTCCATTCGTCCCTGAAGCTGTAAAACAAATTAATGGATATGGACATCTCAAGAAATTCAAATTTTCTCAACTCATGAGAGCATTATACGTGGAAAAGCACACGAAGCAAGCAAACAATGATAGGAAAGTGAAGAGAATGCAAATCACAAAGAGAACCTTTTATCAAGTGCAAGTTGATTGACATAATTTAATAATAAAAAAAAAATAGTATTTGCCTTTAGAAGAAGCGAATAACCCGATCAACAGCCTGAATAACGATCAACACGAAGTACATACAAATGCATTCAAACATAAAAAAATGTCATTTAAAATCAAAAACCCGTATAGAGAAGCAATTGAGGTCGTGGATATACGAAGAACTGCAAGCCTATTTGACATAAGGAGACGCCCAAAAATGGCCTAAATGCAGGCAAAGCTTTAATAACAAACGAAAACGCTAATGCAAAGGGAAAATGCATCCAAAGTAATTTCAAATTCAATAATATTTGGTGTTCTGGCACTTACGCTACACAAGCCAGCGTTCACGGGTTTAAATCTCAATGCGATAGCACTTGTAGTATAGTAGCAGTCCGTAAACGCGTAGCACTTACCGATTGCACATGTACGCAACTAGGCTGCGGCCACTCTTTATCTCATCCTCTTTCCTCTATTCTCTTTAACCATCGCAATGTTACACGAATAGAGATCTTTCTCTAAGAGGTTAGCGAAAGGAAAAAAAATTGCTGTCTAAAGAAAGAATAGTAAAAAACATATCTCAGAGGTGTCCTTGTGATCGGTCGGATTTTGTGCCGTCGACCAACGTCCCTATAGCAAACCGCAATCTTATCTATAGAAGTTTTCCTCCTCTCACTCGCTGGCTCACGCTATTAACCGTTTCACACTTCCTTATCACTTGTGACAAGTAGCTCTTATGTTAATCTACAGGTCGTGCACTATCTACCAACTTGCTATTGCAGGAAACTTTTTACATAATTAGAATAATTTTCCATTCACTCGTAGATATATCATTGCTAGCATGTAATTGGCGAATACTATGTGGTCTAGTTTTGATTCTATGTTTTTACTGTCCGCCTTCGCCACCAATGCCTCTTAGTGCTGATTGTTCGAAATTGTTCGTTATCAATTATGTCACTCCTTAACTCACTTAAGACACAGCACAAAGATCGAACTCTTATGCGTGCTTATAGTCTGAAATTCGATTGCAGTGATGGACAAGAAATGCGTCAAAGTTTTCGACGTATAGGTAGAATATATGATCGAAGATGTACAGAAAGAAGTGAAAATACTAAAAGTAGTTGTAAGTATTAGTGCTTTCTTGTAGAACTGGATAATTGTGATTTGATATTCGGCAGCTGTGGTTTTCTGGCTTCTCATAGAGTGTACTATCAATCAGAAATTGTGCGAAAGATGTGCGCTTAAATACCGGCAGAAGCAGGAAAAGTCTTAAAAGCGATTTGAAAAAGGTATCTGTTAAAATTCTGAAACCTTGTTGCCCCATAAGCAAGTTCTCTGCCTTTGCTGTCGAACCATTTCAAGTCTAGCTATATTAGTCCTAACGCGGGCAGCAACAGACTTGCTTAGGAGATGAAGAGCTCGTGAAATAATCATTTTTTCCTATGGCATTGGGATATAAGTGTAGTCATATTTTTTCTTCCGCATTCTTTTTTTGCGTAAAAATTTCAACTTTTTCTTATTTGTTTACCGTAACATTTGCTTCCGAATTCCGATTTCGCTACATTTTGTTATTGTTTTTTTTTTTTTTTTTTGATAAATTTGCTTAGCTTTCAATGCATCTAAAGTGCATTTTTAATTAAAGTTAAAATGAGAGGCAATGACGAGTAAAATGAAGAGAATTTGCGCAAATTTTATAATTGAGTTTATACTCTTAGAACTGAAAAATATTTGTATATAAATAAACTCTTAATTAACATATATTCTTAATTTAATTAAGTTGAAATAGTCTTAAATCAGTTTATTTGCACTAATTGGTTAATACTTTCTACTCCTTATATGAAAAATTATTTCTTTTTTTTTAAATTATTTCTGAGTCTTTCTTACCAGCCAGCTTACCGAGCATTCAACGTCTTTTTTTAAATTGATTTAGGCATGTCTGTCTGTCCCTCGGATATCGGTTAAATGCGTTGGCATTTTTGGGATCTTTGGAGGAAAGAATGGGTATAGAATTGTATTCAAGTATGAAAAATAAATTTTTGATTACCCTTCTATAACAAAAAATAAGCCTTTATATGACAAATATATCAAATTCCGTGCAATTCGAGCTTTTGCTCCAAGCACTCCGAAAAGAATAATTGTGTCAACAACGAACGAAGAGGATTCGAGTTTCTTTCCACTTAGCATCAAATATATTTGGAAACACGATTCACAGAGGACTTCCCGATGCAAAACAACTACAAGTACAAACCGTCATTCCTAATATTTTATTTGCTTAATCTCTTACGACAGAACAAATAGTAGAAAGGGTTGCGATAAAATAGTTGACAAGTTAAAAAAAAAAAATGTACAAAATAAATTCTGAAAAAAAAACACAACGATTTGAATTGAGAAAAAGAGAACGAATAAGGATGAAAAAACAATGGAAAATAATTCAAAAATCAATGTAAGAAACAATTGAAAACATTATATCGAGCCATGGACAATTTCATGTCCTGAACAATTTCACTTAATCCATATAAAAGAGCTCATAAAAAAGCATTTCAAAATAAGGCGTTATGTGGAAAGTGGTCGAAAAAGTGGCCAAAACCGATCCATTTTCAAGCAGCCATGTTAAAAGAAAAAGGGAAAGCGTGTTGTACAATAACTTATGCTTTCCTTAACAGTGAAAAATCCTTCATATTCCTTTAGATTACATCGAGTTCTTCTACGATTTCGTCAACTCATATATGCCTGATGGACAATTTCGGAATCGCTGCAACGCGACATTATTACAGAACGTGTAATGCAATGCACGACAAGGACAGCGCAGCAAACAGACATGATTTTTGCCTTGCAATCTTCAACGCAAGCATTATCTCGGTCCTCATTTAAAGCTTGTTTTTTTTCCTAAATTTCGTAAATTATATTTTCAGTTGTATATTTATATTTATATATTTAGCTATCGATCTTACAATCAAATTTGTATTGTAGATAATTTCTTATGTGCCATGAGTTCCTACGCATTACCTCCCAGCATAAATGCATAGATTTTAAGCTTGTTTTCCAAAAGCTTTTGACTGCTGTTCGCAAAAGCACCATCTATATTATTTATATACATTATCACTCTCAAATCTTAAGAGAACTGAAATCGAATACAAATTTTTCAAACTAACAGAAATCGCTTTTAAAAGGGAAAAATGCCAGAAATTCGTTCAATGAAAATGATAACATTATCATTAAGTGAGTGAGCAAGAAGAAAAATAAATTCTTCATTAAAATGAAATTAGAGTAACGATATTTATTTTGTGCAATATGTACATTGTTTAGCTATTTTGCTAGTATTTCTCTCGGTGCAAAATATATCTCTCTCTACCATTTGAATGCATTTTAGTTGTTTCATTCCGTTATTCCACATCTGTTTGGTCTATGTAAAAAGTCTCTCTCGGCTTGTGTCCTTGGTAAATTTTGAAAGACAAAACTTGTTACTTTTTTTAACATAGTTTTGACTCCGTTCAAAGTCGAGACTCTTGCCACTCAGGCGGATAACTTGTAAAATTAAATAAGTTCAGTTCGTGTATTTTCCAAAACACTAAACATCTAGAGGAGATGATGAAGTGCAAAAGCGACCACGTCAAGGAAAAAGTCAATAAATTGAACAGCCCGTATTAAAAAAAAAAAAAACCTTGACGAATGTAAAACACTCTGAATAAATGTTGCCCGAACAGAGAGCTAGAGTTAAATATCAACAAGATTATGGCCATTAAAAATCTTTCCTACAATGAATTGAAAGAAAGGTTTTCCTCTAACTGCTTTGAGTCCCTACGAAAACAATTTCCCTCCATTAAAGAGCTCATCTTGTTTATTTGTCCTTGTTTATTTAAGTTCCAAGTATTCAGTACAGTATTTTACATTGGGAACTTTAAAGTTTATAGCAAACAATAAAAGGCTTTAAACACTATCGCTGTATCTTGTGGCTGCAAGAGTGAATCTAGTAAATCGATGCTGGATATAAAAAATAGACTCGAATTCAATTTAATTTTCATAGAGCAAGGCGAAAAGTGCTTCATGCTTGTCTTGAGATTGAGGTAATAAAATTATACTATATTAGAAACCCAAAATTAAATTAATTCAATTTGATATCTTTCTCTTGAATGACATTTTGAACCTGGTAATTGTGCCGATCTCTCTAGCGACATACTCGTACACTTGTATTGCAATTTGCAATAATTATTTGACACAGATTTTAGAATTTTAATTAAATATATTTTTCATATCACTTCAAAATTAATTGCCATCATCATCACTTAATAAATCTTCGTTCTCATTTTCTTCCTCCTTGCGCTGCATTTCTCTATGAAACAATATTTTAAAGCTTTCGTATTCTTCTGCAGTCACATGACATATTTTCGTAGCAAACGTTTTGTCTGAAGTATCGGTAATTTTATATAAACGGGGATTGTCGGTGAATTCATCGGGATCTACTTTCTTCGGTCTTGGCTTGAATAAGCATAATCTCTTCATGAATATGTGACGACATTTAATTTCCTCCAAGGGTTTTGTTAATGCCTCGGATTTAATAACTTCCGGTATTTCTAAAGCCATCACATCTTTGAAATACGACATTCTGGCTTCAATATTTTTTACAGAATCTTGCATTAAGGATGGACAAGTCATTAAAAGTTTCCATACATTTTTATCGGTATTGACGTAACTTTTTAAAAAAGAAATATGCCTCAGTAGTTTCTGCTGATCATTTACATCCAACAATTCAGGATACTTGGTAATTAAAAGGAATAGAAAATATTCACCGAATTGACAAGTACGCCAAAATTCTAGCGCCTCAATAACTTTCTTTGGTGAACGCATTAAAACTTTGGGATTACCAGTGGCAATTTGTAGAAAATTTTGAGTTGACAAACCGTGATTAAGGAAAGTCTCATGAGCTGTCCGCCATTTTTCCAACGGGACCGTAAAAAGTGCTGGAGATAATTTTACAGCCTCTGCTATATGTTCTTCGGATAGAAATTTATATTTATCATCATTTATGTTCTCGGCTGAACTCTGAGTAAGATTCACGGAAAAAACCTAAGTTTTTATATAGAAAATATTAAAATTGATAAAAATTAGGTTAAATAATGTACGCACTTTTAGATTTACACAAGTTTTTGGCGACTTTAAGAACATATATCGAAACATCTCAACAAAATAGTAACAATTCAAAGATTAACTCGAATAACTTGGACGTAAACAAAAACAAAAAGCAGCTGTCGTCTAATGCGCGCATGACGCACAGTAGGTTTCACTTTAGAAACAAGGGTTGCAAAAAATATTCTCCGAATCTTCTGAAAATTAATTGTGAAGAGTTGTAAAATATCGCAAACCCTTACATGTTAATAAAAAAAAAATCTTGTTGCTTCCATATTTGCATTTGTTGTTGCAATAGTAATAGCCGGCAAACGAAATTATATTAACGGAGCAGATATATATATTTTATTTAAAAGATATTTTAGATAACTAAAATAAACTAAAATAATATGACGATTGCTTTACGTTGGGGAATTGTAACAGCTGGTAAAATAAGTCACGATTTTTGCGTTGCTTTAAGCACCTTACCATTTGATGAGCATCAAATCGTAGCTGTAGCAGCTCGTGACAAGCAAAGAGCTGAAGAATTTGCCAGGAAGCATGAAATACCAAATGCTTTTGGCAGCTATTCCGAGCTAGCTGAATGCGGTGATATCGGTGAGTATAAACGAAAAATGAAAACAAAAAATGGGAGAAAAGGGAGAAAGGAATTCTCCATTGGATTAATGTGAAAGAATATCACTGATATCTGCAAATAAATAGCAATGTTATTGTTATACTGAAGATTCTCATAACGCTCTCAAACGGATTATCTTTGTATGCTTCATCGCAGGATGAGTGTCATTTTGTTAAAACGATTGCAAAGAGCAGAAGCAGACTTCTAAGAGCCCATAAAGCGGATAGATTCTTGGCCTGTTTCAAGTTTGCAATGCATCTAAGTACGTTCGTCTCGCCATCTGCTCAGCCTTGTAATATCTATGACGAGGATTCTCCCGGCTAAGAATTTGGAAGTGGCCTAAACTTTTCAAAGGACAACAACGCCAACAACGCCTAAGAAAAATTAATTTTAGTTAGGAAAAGTGAGATGAGTTAGAGTTTTGATTCACAATCCACATTTTGTAGGACCTAGAGGTCAGTGTCAGCAATAACGTTGCTAAGATGTTCGCTTTAACTTACTGTCACACAAAGGCAGATTATAAGCATTTTCCTAAGCTCTTTAATTGCAATTGGTTCCCGGAACCTTCACCAGAAGGTTTTTCTAAGTTTTGTACTGGTTAGAATTTATGTCTCCATCAGCTAAGATATTGATTGCAAGTGCGTTTTGACACTGGCAATTATTTCTTAATGGATTCTACAAACATAGGTCTTTTATAATTTTCGTGTTACTTTTTGCGAGATCCACGATGTTTTCCAGTATATTAACTGTTTAGAAGTGTCACATGAATTATTTTTTGGAATCTTACGTTTAGCCCTCTTTAATTCGTCGAAAGCAGTTTGAAAAATTGTGACAGAAAGAGGTCCTTAATAACCAAAGGATAGTTATCCAGAGGTAATTGTTAACAGCTCTAATCTTTCTATGAAATAAAAGATTTAATCAAACTTCGAATTTTAAATTGATTTTGTATTATTTAATAACAAAATTTTGCTCATGAATTTTCGGTCTATGGTTCCTGAAGATCATATTTAGCTAAAGATCTTAAATGACTTAAGGAGATCTATTATTACTTGATGTCTGACGAATAACTCTCAAGCCACGTTTCAGCAGCTGTGATAGAAAATTTGTGTGCACTTCTATGCAAATTCAAAGGATTTTAAAAAGTTACAATCATATGTTATTTTTAGATATTGCGTATGTGGCCGCATTAAATCCTCAACATTTTGAGATATGCATGTTGATGTTAAAAAACGGAAAACATGTTTTATGCGAGAAACCATTGTGTATGAATCACAAGCAGGCTAAGAAATTAATACAATATGCCGAAATGAAGAAACTTTTCCTTATGGAAGCTATATGGTCGAGGTTTTTCCCGGCATATCAATATTTGCGAAAGCAAATACACACTGGAGTTTTAGGGGAAATCAAAGAAGTGAGCGCTACTTTCTGTGTCGATCTAAAGCATGTGGAACGTTTACAGTAAGTTTGAAAATATATCTAATCGGATTTCATAAATTTGCCTCGGCCTTTTTTTTTTTTGTTAATTAGGAAGAACAGTTTAGGTGGTGGTACTTGCTTGGATTTAGGCATCTATACTATCCAATGCGCGCAATGGGCATTTCAGGAGCCGCCGCAAAAAATCATTGCCAAAGGTACTTTAAATGCTGATGGTGTGGATGTGGAAGCGATAGCAGAGTTACGCTATTCGGGCAATCGGAAGGCTACCTGTCATTTCAGTGGCGAACGACTTTTAGACAATAAAGCTGTTATCAAAGGAACAAAAGGGGAAATAACTGTAATTTAAATGAGAGTTAAGGAAAATATATATGGGTTTTAAAAATTATTGCTTTTCTCAAAACTGCAGTTTTTGCAATTTTGGAGCCCTACTAAGATCATTGACATCGATGGTAAAGAGAAAGAATGGGTTTTGCCAAAAGGAAAGTACCCTACAAATTTTCCAAACTCCGAAGGATTGCGTTATGAAGCCGCGGAGGCTCGTCAATGCATTTTGGAGGGAAAATTGCAAAGCGAACATGTCAGTCATAACGATAGTTTACTGTTCGCTCAAATCGAAGACGAAATTAGAGCTCAACTTGGTGTGATTTATAAAGAGGACAAGGAGCAATAATTGCAAGATAATTGTAGTTAAAGAAGTATTATAGTATTGTAACATTGCGCATCTGCAATAAAGTCGAAACGTTACTCTTCTTTTCTAATGAATAAAAAATGTATGATTTGAAAAGTCATATTCAATTATCATCGGTTGTTTTTTTGTAATATTGGCAGAAAAAGCGAATTTATTGTTGTACTAGTAGTATACGTTTCCACAATCTTTTTCGAAGTTAATCCGTGGCATCGCATTAAGGTTTTCTATATCAGTTTTGATCTTTTCTTGATAAAACTGCTGGTGGATAGATAAACCATTCAAAATATCGCCCGTATCTAAACTATCTATACTTGATGTTACACCCTTTTTCCCATTTTTGTGGATATAGAGTGAGAATTCTATAGACGACGTCTATTAACTGGTCAATATGTATATATTACAATTTTAGAGCTCCAGTATGTATCATAATCCGTCCCATCCAAATTTCCTAAATGCACTTGTATGCAAAAATACTAATTTTTCCCCCAATTTATATCGAATGGAATAGAATTCATAAAACCACGTAGTTAAAGACTTAAATGCAAAAGTTAAAGCGCAATAATGCCCTTATGGTAAAGTCAATAATAATTGAATACAGTTTTTAATTTAAGGTATACTCCTCTTTCCTTACATTTGTTTACAAGTATCCAAGAAAGAATTTGACATATCCAAGATTCAAAGTACTCAAGAAAGTATATGAGGACAAGAGGAGTTTTTCTCTTATTATTGGTCTTTTGCTAGGTAATGCTTTTTTCCTTACCTTCAGGTAATTGTATAACCTATAATTACTAAGCCTTTGCTAAAATTTCAATTATTTGCTTTCCAATATCGAGAGTTAAAATAATTTAAGAACATACATGCATTGTTTAATACATCACTGCACATTCGTATCATTAACAGTGATCGGCTTATTCTCATATTTTTTTATTTAAAAATTGAATAAATTATA